AATGATGAATAAGAACACTCAATGATTTTCAATAACTACTAATATGTCACCAACATTCCCTTTGGGGGGGGGGGAAGCTTGTTGGAAAGATGGTCAGACTTTAATTCTAAAACAGACTAATTCATAATTAGCCAGCTTCATGTGTTCATTGCCTGTATTGTAATGGTAAAAATGCATATCTTTATATAAGCAGAGGGGAGAAATATATGTCATTAGCTACCTTTCCTAGAGGAATATCTGTACTTGTAATGGATGGGTCCAAAATGTGAGACATATTGCAAGGCCACTTGTTCCCCTCTTTCTGGTACTTTCCTCCCTTTTCTGCTTTGCTCAGTGGAAAGCAGTTGATGAACAGGAAATGACTTTTAACAGCAGGCTAAACCCTTAACTTGAGGAGAAGTTGGCAGATGGCAGCACGTAAGTGTTCATGGAAAATCTTGAAATACCTAAGCAAGGTTGAGATGTAGATGGGATATCATGAAGAACTGAAATCTCAGCACTGTGAAATATGAGAATTTAAAAAACAATTACTCTGAGGGGAGGGAAGGCATGGCAAATCACTGCCATATTACTACCAAGAAAACAACATTGATTTGTCATTGCCACTAGGGCAGAGGCCCCCAATCTTTTGGGCACCAGGGACCAGTTACGTGGAGAGAGGTTTTTCCACGGACCTGAGGGGGCATGGTTTTGTGTGCTGCCTGCATCCTGTGGATGGCGCTTTCCTTGTTTGTGCGGACTGGTTGCTGGCATGCCATGGCCTCATACCAAGGTCCAAGACCGGGGGTTGGGGACCCCTGCACTAGGGGACTTACTGACTTACTTGAATATATTTTTACAAAGAACTCAAGTAGTCCATTCTACTACAAAGAATTCTCTTGGTTTAATTATTTGGTCTTTCTATTGTAAAAAAAAATTAAAATGATCACATGTACTTCAGCACTAATTGATCAATTGCTTGTGCTCAGATTACTAAAAAAGTACTCTCTATAGATTTGATGGGATTTCCTAAATATAAGGGCTATTTTTAAAAAAATACTGTAAATAATCCAGAAAGCAGGATTAGCGCTTTAGGGTCCTGTACCCCTGGACTCTATGTTGCTAGAGGAAATAATGAGCTCTAGTGCATTTTATGCTTTCTGCAGTACCTGCTGTTGGAAGCGTTCCATGTGTGAAAAGTGAAATAACTTCTTCCTCAAAAACATGATATTTGAAGTAATGTAAAACGAAGCTTTTTTGACTAGTTGCTTTGCTATTAAAACGGCATGGAAAATAGACAACCAGAATTAAAAGAAAATATTATCAGAATTGTATTCAGTGACAAAACCAGCATAAAAATGTTATGAAGAGTCAGGGAATTGAGTTTGTGATTTATACTGTGGTTTTTGCTACCATAGCTACATGGAAACTTGGGGTATTGCATTATGATATATAAACTGTGTGACCACATTTTCAAGGCTGGATCACATAGTCTTCTCCCATCCAGCTAAAAGGAACTTTTCCACTTTATTATTTATTTATATTTATATGGTTATCATCTCAACATCATGACTCTGGATGGCTACGAGGAATTAAACATCACAATCAGAATCAGAATAAAGCTGGAAGGGACCTTGGAGGTTTTCTAGTTCAGCCCCCTGCTCAAGCAGGAGACCCTATATCATTTCAGGCAAATGGCTGTCCAGTCTCTTTTTTAAAAAACTCGAGTGAAAGCAAACTGTTCCACTGGTTAATTGTCCTCACTGTTAGTAAGTTTCCCCTTAATTCCAGGTTGCTTTTTTCCTTGATTAGTTTCCATTCATTTTTTCTTGTCTTGCCTTCTGGTGCTTTGGAAAATAAATTGAACAAAACGTTACAACAACATCACAGTATCACAATAAATTCTATAAGCTATATGAACATTCCACATAATTTCAGATGCATATGAATGGGGGGGGGGAATGAATACTTTGGCGGATGTGCTACATATATTGAGGCTTCCTAGTCTACATGCAAAACCACACTTTCAGCATTTTGCTAAGTGAACAAACCTTTGAAATAGACTGAATTGGGACAAACAACAATTACACCAGAAAAAACAAATACAAGCAAGGTGTTTTTTTAAAAACAGCTTTTACAGTTCTATAGGTGGCTTTCAGAACTGCATAATCTTCATAATCTATGTAATAAAAGATTCTGCCAATCTATTCTTTGCTGTTTGCAATATGCTCTTTGTTAACAAAGGCAGGCTCCATTTGCTAGAAGTTTTGAGTTTCCTGCATTACTTAAGTGAGATAAGTAACTATGTAACATGATGAATTCAGGAGATGATGAGAAAACAATCAGGCTTGTTATCTGACATAGTCCTGCACCTTTAACTTAATTGCAAAGCTTGCCATTCTACTCTGTTAGAACATTGCAATTAACATCTTTCTCAGATGGAATTCAGTTGCTGGTCTCAGTCAAAACAGTTTTATGTTTCAAGGAATTGATTTACACCATATTTGAGTTTGCTTTTCTTTAAATCGTGCTTGCTTGGCTGCTTTTGTGAAAGAATACAGAAATCAGATAAGAGTTCATGAATAAACTGAGATTTAAAAAATCCCAAATTTGATTGGGTTGGGGCAGGGGTAGGCAACCTTGGCTCTTTTATGACTCGTGGACTTCAACTCCCAGAATTCCTGAGCCAGCCATGCTGAGGGGAAAGGGAGAGGTTTCCAAGCTGAGCAATGCCGGCTCAGGAATTTTGAGAGTTGAAGTCCATGAGTCATAAAAGAGCCAAGCTTGCCTACCCCTGGGTTGGGGTATGTGTGTGTGTTGAGAGAGAAAGAAAGAAAAATTATTTTCTTGTTTTTAATCATCATTGATAGGTATTATGTGGGAACTAGGAGCTATTTTTGTGCCATAAGTTCTTCCCCTTAATAAGATTTTAATAAGATATTGCAACACGTGTACATGAACAAAAAGTGCGAATCCTACATTGTGACAAAGTTAGCAAATACCTCTATATTTATTTCACTTCTTATCAACAATGTAGCTCTGATAACTTTTAATCAAACGCAGTAGGAGAAATTTCTATTTCATTTGAATGATCCCATGTATCTTTAAAGAGCTAAGTGATTTCATGTTCATAGTCATCTTAAATTTCATCTAAAGTCAGGCACTGTGCGTTTTGTAATAAAAATTTCAACTAGGATAAAAGCATAGTTTCCTCTCTTGGCTTGTTAATTAACTGACAGTTAGAACAATTAACCAGTGGAACAACCTGCCTCCAGAAGCTGTGAATGCTCCAACACTGGAAGTCTTTAAGAGGAGATTGGACAGCCATTTGTCTGAAATGGTATAGGGTTTCCTGCCTGAGCAGGGGGTTGGACATTATTATTGTTGTTGTTGTAACTAAAAGCAAAACAATCCACAACAATCCCAGATTTCAGAGATTATAAAATTTGGATTACTGTATTGGAAATTTGTGGCAGTGTGATTGCCTCTGTAGGCCATCTGCTGGTGGACCAATAGGCTTCATTGTACAATTGGTTGGTTATTACATATTATCACATAATGCTATAATTTTAATACTGCAGTACAGATATTTTATTTGGGTGTGGCCCTACATTGGACTGATACAATATTTTTTCTTCAACATAGATGAATCTATGCATCTGTATATATGAATGAACATACCAAAATACAAAACATTGTATAAAGTTTTATGGCTCTTATTATAGAACTGAAGAAGCTTCTTGGATGAGAAGTTAAATGTTTTTAAAGAAAAAAACCAAGAAAGTCTAGTTGCCTTTTGGAAAAAGCACCTGTGAGTTGAATGATTAAGAATCTCCATAAACATTTGGATCATATTATAGTAATAAAATTAATTTTGCAGACTTTGAAAAATGTTGGTTGTCACCTGCCCCTTTCCAATATCTGGAAAGGTGAAATAAGTAGTTGGATTGGGCAAATTAGCATGTTCATCCAAATCTTGATGGTTTTATTTTCCCATATGCTCCAGCATCTGTTATTCTTAGCAATATTTCTCTGAATATCAGTTAAGAAAGGTACTAATTGAAAATTAATTATATAAATGAAGAGATTTTATCCAGATTAAATGTAAACAAGTTGTTGTTAGAATGTTTATGGAAAGATAATTCAATTTTACTCAGCTTCTTCATCTCAGCAATTCCCGTATATTCTGAAAAATATTTGTTAGAATGTATTATTACTATTATTATTATTATTATTATTATTATTATTATTATTATTATTATTATTATATACATAATTCATTTGATTTTATTCACTTCTGTTTATCCTGACCGTGAGGCCCAAAAGGGCAGTACGGCTCCATCTGGACATTGTCATCCATTTTGCACTCTCCAGGGAGCATGTGTAGTTTAAGAAATGCTATAGATGCAAGTGACCATTGCAAAGTGAGAGGCGGTCGCCTGGATAGCTGAATTGGACATCGTTATGATTATTATGTGGCCTATCTATATATGTTTACTTCTCTTCTGTCGTGTTCTCATCATACACTAAATAAATAATAATATACACAACAATGTGAACTCACAGCTGCCAGTTCTTTAGCTGGTATTGGCCTTCATATACACTGAGTTCTTCCCAAGAACCTAATATGTTGTAATGTATTAGCATATATATGTGTGAATCCAAGCAATCTGGCCTTTTGTAATTGACATATGGAACTATTATTATCAACGAGCAGATTTTCTAAGTGCCATCTAAGGTTTTTTTTTATGGGACCACCACATCATAAACTTTCAACTTTGGTTTTCAGATTTTGATACTTTGTGATCTTCTTCAATTCTTTGCCTCCTATTCTTCTAGCCTTTGACATTGCCACATCAGTTAGCCACACTTTCTTCTCTTTTCAACTATTAAAGACGAGAAAACTAGTTACAGATGAATAAGACCTCCCTGGAAATATTTGTACTTCTTGTTTGAAATGTTTGTGTAAATCAACAACAGTTAATGGTATCTTTTTCTTATATATCCTCCACCACTTACAGAATGTGACAAACTTCGGAGAGATGGCTGTAGAAGTTCTCAATACTATTCTCAGGGTCCAACATTTTCATCTTCATCCAGCACAATCTATGGAAGTTACCAAGATGATTATGAAGAAATTGAACAGAAGGTGAGACAGCAGGCTCTTGAAAAGATAATGGAAAATATTGCAGTAATTTTTATAAGTTAAATAAACGCACAAGATATATATTATGTTCCAGATTTGAAAATGATAGCTCAGCTTTTAAAATGTTCTGTTCCAAAAGGATCTTGTTTCAGTTCTGCAGAATAGTTTTATTTGCAAAAAAAAAAAAAAAAAAACTGTGCAAACACTCAGGTATAAAAGCTCTGATTTAAAAACTGGCTAGGTTAGATTTTGCTGCTTTTATGAACACGTAGAAAGAACTATTGTTCTCTTGTAAATACCCTGACTTTGTAGTGTTCACATTGTCCCATAGAACGTACCATAAATGAGACGACCACTCCTTTATTGGCTTTCCCTTGTTTGCACTTTGATATGTAGGGTGTGAACATAATGTGATTGTCTTCTTTATTCTGTTGTTTGAATTATTTATGCCACAATGAATTGATAGCATCATATCTTAGTAATACCTGTCCCTTATGCAGCGTTTAATTAATTAGTTCATTTGTCATGTACTCCCAAATAGGCATGACTTCTCTAAAAAAAAAAAACTAATGAATAGAAATATATTTTGAGATGTTTCTTAAAAAATAGTAAAAAAGAAGCTGTTCAGAGGGAAGAAATTCTAGAGTAATTGGTGCCATCATGCAATATTGTATATTATATCTATATAGAGAGAAACATATAAGACACACATAAACAACAGCAGGAAGAATTAAAGAACATTAAAAAGGTAAAAAATATTTGACACTTTTTCAAAGGTTAAACAATTTGAATTATATAAGGATGTTCTTCCTATATTGATGAGGAGGCATCTCCTCTAAATTTTATTTATTTATTTATTAAATGTATTGGCCGCCCATCTTACTGCAGGGTAACGCTGGACGGCTTACAATCTGTCTGAATCTTTCACATAACTAAGCAAATTTGATACCAAATTGAAGAGTAACATCAACACTTTGCACTGACTTTGTTGAACAGTGATCAGTGTAAACCATTCACGATCAAAATAATGTAGTCCAATGGGATACATCAGTCAGCAATATGGCTGCTACATGTTGCAAATGAGGCATTTACAGCTGTTCCCAAATCAGGTTGACTTATGCAGTAAATATAATTATGCCAATCCTGCACTTAAAACTACTATCAGCTGAAGTTCTGGAGTCTTCAGTGGGCCATGAAGAAGTCTTTAACTACAGACAGCTTTTTCAGGCAGAATGAATTATTCTCCAGAATATGCTAAATCCAAACTAGTCTTCATCTTGATTGATACTATATATATAATCCTTGTTTAGCAACCACAACTGGGACTGGAAGCTTGGAAACTGTGATTGTGCTTCTATAATCTTACTTCAGCTTCCTTTGCATTAAAGACCTATGAAGGTTGTAAATGCAAGGGTTGGCCAAAAGTTACATTTTCTTCCTCATCATAACTGAGAATGGTCGTTAAACAAGGCAGCTGCTAAACATGGACTACCTGTGCACCCTTTTTAATAGATTCTCATCTTGATTACCCTCATTCATTTCAATTAAGTGTATGACAAAAGAGATGTTTTTGCCATTTTCCTAAATGTTGGGAAAGTGGGAATTCAAGGGAGTGAATTCAATCTGGTATGCAGGACTCTCTGCTGCATACCAGATTGATAAACTTGTGGCAATGAGTGCATCTTCAAAAGGGCCTTATTGAAGTGCCCAGTCAGGTTAATAAAAGTTGGTCCCTTAGATCGGACATGTCAAACTCGCGACGTCACGTGATGTCGCACAACGTATCGGAGCTTTTACGCCGTTGCCGGCAATGGGGTGGGCGTGGCTCCGTTATGATGAAACCGGCCCGTGGGCCGGCAGTTTGACACCCCTGCCTTAGATAATCAGACCTACCTTTGAAAGTAACCTTATACTGTATCTGATAGACAGTTGTCAGCTCATGCAGCTTCTCAATCTAGCTACAGCATTTTGCATTAGCAGCAATTTCTGGTCATTTTTCAAAGATAGCCTCATCAGAGCACATTGTGGTAGTCAGGCAGAATTATAACCAAGTACAAATAAGAGTTGCCAAGTACAATATGCTCAAGAAGAACTAAAGGTGATGCATTAGCTATAGTTGTGCAAATATACATGTTCTCAACCACTGATAATTGTCAAGCATTATTGCACAGGAGTTTGATCCTGAACAGATGTTACTTTTGGCTGAGATGTGTTGTCTTTGTTGTTCATATGATAAGCTACTTGTTTCTAGAAGATAAGGTTTCTAGTTACCCATATGTGAGAAGCACTTAGAGATCTCAGTGAAGAAAAAGAGTTGATTATCTGTTGCTAGGGATCTGGAAGACATCATCTGTGCATTCACACAACCCACCCACCTTCCCCTTTCTAGTGAGTATTTTGGATAAATTCTGGTGCTTTTTTTACCTGCTGTATTGTCTCGGGGAAGCAGAAGAGAAACCTCAAGCATGAACAGCAAAGCTTCTTTCCTGCCAAAATATTTTTCACTTTTGAAAAATTCCCAAGACAGACTGTGTGAATGCACATATGACCATTCAGAGAGCCAATTACAGGTAAGCAACCTGTTCATTATGTGATGAACTACATTAAGGGTAGTAATTTGCCTGAAAGGTTCAGTAAACAGAATGGATCTTCTGACAAAAACATTGCAAAGGTTTTTACTGTAAAAAATACTTTAGCTTTCTATTTCTAGGCAATTTTTCATTGAAGGTATGCCTACACATTAGTACTTATAAATAAAATTTTAAAATCTAGTTAATATGCCACGTAGTATACTTGTTAAGCTAGTTTATACATTATAAATCAGTACAGGAGACTGTCACAAAACAATAAGCTAAAATATTGAGTAAATCTTAGGGGGTAGGATCTAAATTCCCAAACTCCAAATCACAATTTTGAGTGTTGCTTTCCCTTTCAAGTATTCATTTTACAGAAGGCAAACTGGGTATATGCATCATTGACTCATCCCTCCCTTCCCTCTTTCGTTAGTCAACTGGCCCCATTCCAGCAGCTTTCTCTGTGTATCAACTATTCTTTCCTTCCCAAACATTAATGTGTGGCTCAGCTACCATAGCTGCATGTTTTCCAACCTCCAAATGCTTGGCTTTCCATTTCTAGAGGAACTCTGTTCTATTCATGTTGTGCCTCTACTTCTTCTCATTTGATTGGCAGTCAAAGGTGAAGACCAGGACGTTGTCCAGGGTGAATGTAGGCATTTATATTGCAGCAGCTCAGCAAGAAACAGAAACCGTCCAGGAAAGTCATTTTATTTTGGTGAATACGTGGGGAGGAGGTGTAAATCAAGAAATTTGGCATGGAGAGAAACAGAGAGCATTAATGTTGTGCAGAACCTTCCTCCATGAAATAGGCAACAACCTCTTTATGGCCAAAAGCCATAGTTTACCTATGGGATAGTTCAAGGCTAGGAATAATTCCATAAGTTTAGTAACCTTTCATTTTTAATGCTTATATGCCCATTTTAGAGCTTAGACTACAATTTTCATGCATTTCCTCTTCAAAATAGGTAGAAATCAGACCACTGGTTTTGAACCATTGGATCCGAGGACCACAAAAAAAGAGGAGTTAGGCTGCCTGTAGCTCTGATGCTGCAGGTTATCTGCCCCTGACATAAATGTTCAACTTTTGTTCTCTACATCCTTTAGTTTGTATAGTAGTAATTAAAGGCTTGACAATCAAATACTGTATTCTAAGGAGTTACATAAATGCTGCCGATTGAAAAATGTATGACATGTACTGGTTGATGTAACAATGGCAACCATTTTCATAGAAACTCAAATCTATACTGTAGTTTTTTTTATCAACTGAGACATAATTTTCAAATAATAAACATTGTGCATGGTTTCACCACATTTAAATGGAAGTCTATGACTTGATTGCTCTATTAATCTAGCATTTATGATTGTTTTGAAAAACAGAGGTATGCCCCCATTAGTTCATGAATGGGTGATTTAAAAGACCCATCTCTGGTTGTCAGAGAAGATAATATGGACTACATAGACAATTTCTTTGACCTGATATAGGCATAGTTATATATTCTTTTGACTTAGTTCTGGATTATCATTGTGCACACACATGTAATCCCTGACACAGGTTGAGGTGTTTGTCATGTTAAGACCTGGTTGATGATGCTAATTTAAGTACAGTTCCTACTTGTAAACACACTGAATTGGTTGATCCAAGTAATATTCCTTTTTCTGCTCCTCTCTTGCATTCATTATATGTTTTGTGGAAAAGATGTGTTTGCATATGACAACTTCTCCCTGTTTTTTAAATTATTTGTACTGTGATGTGCATACTGTGTCTGTTATGTCTTTTTTATGTCTGTGTGTTTTCATTATTTTCTCTTTGTCACTCATTTGCTTTCTTTTTCTCTCTCACTCAACAGTCTAGTCTGTTAGACTGCCTCCCTCAGTCTTGCTTAAGTGCCTGCTGTTGTTTGATGTCATGGACAATCAAGGTATCAAGCCCCCTCCAGAATCATCCAGCTGTAATATCTGCAGTCTGATGCTGTTGTCCTCTTCTTAACAATGCTCTTATTTTAAAATTTGTCCTGCTGCTTTGTTTCATGTCACAGGGAAAAATACTGTGCAGTAACACTAAATTCCCTATTCCTTTTTAAAATACTATTTCATTTCTTGGCAAATTTGAACCTTTTTTTTTCTGTCCTGTTTTCTTCCTGTTTTCTAAATGGGCATTGTGGAAAGTTACTAACATTCAGAAAGTGTTGTACATTTTGTCATAAAATTGAATTTCCAAACTAATTTAAGTACAAAACTTTCTTAAAACCTTTAATGTAAGAATGAACGGTGACAAACGCTTAGGGTCTTGCTAACTCATACATCTTACAGAAGGAACTTATGCAGCTTCCAAATCTCCTTTTTGGCAATCCCCAAATCCTTCTCTGAATGTGACTGCAAGAAATTAAAATATTCGTATGTCAAAGATTTAGCATGGCTTCTGATCATCAAAAGGATGTCTATCCATATTTAGTAATTCCAGCATAAATATCTGGATTCCTACAGTATAGAGATAACAGGGAAAAAAAGATTTTATTGTTGTTTTATACAATTCTTGTGCTGTAATTGAAGATTTCACAAAAGAAAAGGTAATGAGAAAGCTGTTGCTTAAATGTTTTCTAAATTTGGAATTTCTAAGAAAAACATTGGTGATAGTGATAAGAACATAGCCCTGCTAGATTAACTCAATGCTCATCCTAATCCATAATTATGTTTCACATAGTCAGTTGTAGGATGTTCATACCAGAACATAGAAACTATCTTCTATCATTGTTCCCCTGCAAGTATTTTGAAGCATACTGCCACCTTTCAGTGGAAAGCATACTGCCCTCATTAAATCTTAAGACTAATAGTTTTTGATAGACACATCCTCCATGAATTTATTCAGTGCCCCTTAAAGTCAATCTTTCAATTCTGTGATAATGAATGAAGAAGCATAAGAAGACCAACCAGCTGGATTCATGACTGATTAAAATTCAGGTTCCTCTCAAATCTTTTAAAATAACCAAACGTTTGTTTGGAATAGATTTTTGTTTAAATGAGTAGCTTTACATTCTGAAAAAGAATACAGTGGTGCTTAAAAGTTTGTGAACTCTCTTGGATGTTCAATATTTCTACATCGATATGACATCTCTTTATCTAGTTTTAGAACTTGTTTGGAGAACAGATCACATTTTAGGTCATATTTATGCAGGAATATTGAAAATTCAAGAGAGTTCATAAACTTTTAAACACCATTGTACAAAGATAAATAGAACTTGAATATATGTAAGTGTCAACATTTATTGATATGACTGCATTATGCAATGAACTTTGCATCAGAGAAATTTTGATTTAAAGAGAGCCTCAAATTAAAATATAGTTTTATGTATTACAACATCATCCTTTCTTTGATAAGACTATGTAAGACAGAGGCACTCAGAAATCTATATCAAGCAAAGAAACTATAAATACATAAGATCCTAAAGACATTGGATTAAGACTACAATTTTGCAAGGCACAGTTCCTGAATTTAGTTTGACAGTCCAAGTTGATTTCTTGAATATGGAATTGGTTTGTTATTCTCTTCTGGAAAAAATTTCAGCTACCCGGTCTAGCACAAAACCCTAGGGTTTCCTGATTGTTTTCCATCCAAATATTAAGCATAGCTGATGCTGTTTACCTTTTTTAGATCTGCCAAGTTTAACTAGGTACTTTAGATAAAAATGCATGTTGTTCAGTTGGATATGCTTCAATTAAATGTGCATAGTATTGCTGTGTAAGGGAATTAAATTATTAACTATATAGAGAATAAATGAAATGCAAAATATACAATTTCTTCAATAGAAAGGCTCTACTTTTGCATCTTCTTTAGTTTCTGGAGTTTTTCTACTCATCAATGTGTAGAATTTTTGTATAATGGTTATAGGCATTTTCCTATTAAATTCCCTCATTTAGTGAGTACTGGATTGATTGATTGATTGATTGATTGATGATTGATTCATTAAATGCCCCTGGAGACAGAAAATAAATGTACAGTAGGCTTCTTCTATGCTACAATGATAAGGAATGAGTGGAGTGCAATGATCCTACAGAATAATTCCTGATACCAAAAAGTCCTTTGTCTAGTTTTATTTGTTCCAATAATCTCATACTGGATTTAAATTTCACTCTCCCAAAATATTAAGAATTCTAGAATTGAAATTTTGGGACATTTAATAATAGATAATGCCAGTGAATTACTTCAGCTGCTACAAGCCATCCACATTTACATTTCTTTCATCAGTTGCAATAACACTGAAAGTGTTTCTCAGCAATGTTCAGATTGGAATAACCTAGAAAAATACCTTTCTTATTTGTTAATGCTAGGACCCCAAGTGGGATTTGGTGTACTAAAAGTAGTGGCTACTTTGACTGAATCAAAATACTTTAATACATTAAATATTGAAAAAAATTAAAACATTTGTATTAGAAGAGATCAATACCTATTTAACTGTTCAGTGGCAAATAATCAAATGAGAAATTCATTTTTTTCGGTTGGTAAATACCTTGGTATTTTGTTCTGTGGATCCATCATAGATTTCCTTCTTTGTCAGCAAACTTGTTATATTAAATATTATAAGTGCTCTTAAACAGTGTTTATTTATAGCTGTATGGTCCCCCTTTCCCAACAAAACTATCGTTCATTATTTACTATATGCAATTTTATTTCTTTTTATATTTGAAAAAATTAAATTCAGGGTCATAATCTTATGACAGTTACTAATTTTACATTGTTAATCAGTATGTTTATGATTATGTTGAAATATGTTGCTGTGGCTTATCACATAGCAGCACCATACTTGAAGTATTATTTCATTCTCAGTGAACCCAAGGCAGAAGAAACATCCCTTTTGGCTATTATTACATAATAAATAACAATCCATTCTACTATTTCTATCTTGCACTCAAAAATGAAGGGTTTCTTATTCTTACGCATTATATATTCTTTTCTGCCAGTTATACAATTTCAAAATCAGCACTAGCCTGAGAAAATTTTTAAAAATCAGTTTATTGTAAGGCTATCCTGGAAGTAAGCAGTAATTCATGATTTACTGTTAAGATGTTTGTATGACTAAGATGGCTTTGCTTTGGTGCAGCTTCATAATGTGTACCTTTTTTTTCCCCACCAAGGCATCTTTTCATATTTCAGAAAAACACTTCTAAGAGATTAAAAAATGGATATAGCATTTATTGTTCAAGTGGCCCTTGCTTAACTACAATAATTGGGACCAGAATTTTCATCACTAAAAGATGTGAACATAAAGCACAATATCATGTCATTGCATTGTTTAGAGACGGCAATCCCGCCAATCACCAGGAGGACTTCACGTGATCACAACTTTTGACTTGCTACTGGCTTTCCCATTGACTTTGTTTGTGGGAAGCTGGCAGGGAAGGTTGCAGATCATGTGACCATGGGACTCCCTGACAGTCAGAAATCTTAGTGGGAACTTATGGAAACTGCCATATATAGATATATTAGTTTAATGTTTGACATCACAGTTGTGATGATTTATGATGAAATATTCATAAATAGGCAATAAGAGGGTACTAAGTATTTATGTTCTCACTGAATCATTCTCAACTTTTGGCAGAGTTTTAACCCGAACTGACATAATAAGCTGCATTCCTTGATTTGTAGTTTGTCCATTGCATTTATTATAAAAATTCCTATAAATGTATCTATGTTAACATATTTTTGAGATGGACTTTGATATATTCTTAGCTTTCTTGTATAATAAATGCTGTCATTTCATCAAATTAATGTTACAATGGATATTTATCAAATCTTAAGAATGTATTAACTTTTTAGAGTACAATAATAAAGGTTGCACAGTAGTTTCAATATCTTCAAGTGTTCATAATCTGTGATACTTTAACTTTCTATCTCCCAAGATACTTTGTTGTGAGAAAAAATGGACTATGCTATTCCATAATGAAATGCAAAACAATGGCTTTTCTAAAAAAATCATACCTCAGTGTTGCTGAAGTTAATGCTAATCAAATTTAAAAATAAAAATAAGAAAGTCCCAAATGAGTTTGCTTTAGAATATTCCAGAAAGTGAAAGTATTGCAGAAAAATTAACCTATCACTTATAGATTTATAGACTTGCAGTTGTCTGTGTCTTGAAGTGTGAATATAGAATTCTTTTAATATGCTAATACAATGTTTCCCAAACTTGACAATTTTAAGGCATGTGGACTTCAACTCCCAGAATTCCACAGCCAGCATTGCTGGCTGTGGAATTCTGGGAGTTAAAGTCCTCATGCCTTAAAATTGTCAAGTTTGGGAAACACTGTGCTAATAAATGAATGGTTACATATTTGATTACTTTCTTACCAAATGCTTTAGTAAGGAATTGAACCATGAATTACACTTGCTTTGGCTATTAAAAATCTTCCGCAAAACTGTCATAAGAAATTGAGTCAGATGTCCAAAACATTTTTTCAAATTCTGTCACAATGTCTTGTTCACATAAGAACCGCTTTATTTAAAATAAGGTAACGTGTGGCTGGGAAAATGTCTAATTTACCTTTTTGCTGCAATTTTTGAAAGCAAATTTCATAAAATCCCTACAATTGATGATATACTGGATTGTTGTTTTTTTTAATAGCATTCGATTCCTTCCCCTGAAGAGGAGAAACTCATTCCTGTCAAAAGACCCAAAACGCCAACTCCTGGTGAATTGTCTGACATCAACACTCAGACAAATTGGACCAAATCACTTCCATTGCCAACTCCAGAGGAGAAGATGCGACAACAGGCTCAAGCAGTCCCAACTGATGTTATCCCGATTAATGTAACAGGTAGGCTTTTAATTTTACAGATTTATGGCATTTCTTTATGATATTTAGAGCAAAATCACACCTTTATAGAAAGTACTGGTTATGTTAAATAATGATAACAGATGTTAAGCATCAGGGCCTTTAACTATTACAGTAACAGAATTCTCTCTTCTTCATGTTGAATGATTAAATATGCTGAAATGTTATACTTCCAAACTTTCTGTAGTGTAATCTTTGTTGCTTAATGACTTTTTTCATAATAACGTTTCTTAAGATGCTAGTTTTTTAAAGAGGTTTACTTTTAAAATATCCACCTCATTTCATTCACAACCAAATATGTTTTGTACTAGCATACATATCATTATGAAATAATATTTTTGGTACATAAAATGATGAGTAAGGCGTAATGACCTGAAATAAATCAACTGAGACTGCTGTCCCATAATAAAAGAATTTAGAACTGAAGTAAGATTGTTCTCTAAGGAAGACAAAGCAGAATAATTAGCAAGCTTTCATTTTCTCTAGAATTATTAAGCAAGAGAAAAAGCAGGGAGAAGAACAAAGTTAACCTGTAAAGGCCCTAAAACCTGTTCATCAAGAATCTGAAAAAGACTATAGAAGGAGATTGCAGGCATAGCTGAATTAGGCTTTTTAAAAATATGATAGGTTAGGTCATAATTCAGGAAGTTGATGCAAAAAAAGAAGCAATCATTATTTCCGGTTTTCTATATAGTCTATATAGTAAGACTGTTTCTGATCCTTAGAAAACAGACCAAACAATTGAAAACTGAATTCTTGTTTCTTTAGCAAGGGATTCGTCATTCTTATTCCATCTGGGTTTTGTTCTTTCCTGCTTAAAAAGGAGTGTCAGACTCAAGGCACTATTTTTGAACTGCAATCACACGTTAATCTACAAGATCAGTTAAACCAACTGATTTTTTTTTTCATTAATAATCAATTAACAGGTGTTTTCTTTTTCCAAGTGGTGACTAATATCTGCTTAACTATATTATTAGTCTTACCTTATTAGAGCATTTTAATATAATTCAGCAATCAGAGTTCAGTAAAAAAACATGTGAAAAAGAAATAGATAAAATAGAAATCCATGTACACTAGAAAAACAAAAAAAGTGTTTGTGGAGATTAAATTGTTAATGCAAACCAATAAATGGGGTTTTCACCCCTTATTTTCTGCCTTCTTAAAAATGTATGCTTGTATTCAGTTGGAGCTTCTTTGTTGATATAGTCATGCCCTCCACTGAATCTCCTCAGTTGTGCAGTCTCTGCATGACTTCCAGATTTGCTCTGGATATGCAGAGATCCTTCCAGATATGAAGAGCACATGATATCAAAAGAACAAAGAAATTGGGGAGAGTCCTGTTATGTTAGCGGAAGTATCCTCCCATAGTCATGGGTACAGACAAGATAAAAAAAAACATGTTAGTCAAAAACATTTAATAGGAAAGATTAAATGTTTAATCCTATTTGACCCACAAAAAGATAGACACAGGGATAAAAAAATAGACCAGAGATTAATGTGATCCTCAAGCAGAAAGACTTCAACTCTGCTAAAGTGTTCATTTTTCATGCTTTATGGCTATTTATATCTGAGTAAGTACATAAAGATTGCTCTATAAATTTGTCCTCCCAAATATTTGCTTTCTGGATAAAATATCCTTTTCAGATTAAGGGAATAAATATATCATCAAATATATGTCTCTGGTCTGTGTGAGATACGAGGACTAGGTCACAAGAATCTATTGATTCTTCTTGCATAGAAATATATTTATGTCAGTCTAGGCCAGCCACAATGGATTTTATTACAATAAAATATTAATATTGCTGAACTAATATCAACTTCGAATGTCCTATATAAAAATTAAAAGCCTGTAAAATAAAATTAATAATGGACATCGTATTTCACTTGTCTGCAGCACATAATGCTGTCCCATCTTCAGTTTCATCTGTCAGTGCTCTTCTAGTAAGATAAATTTTAGTACTAAAAACTTGATATGAATGTACTGAAGTCTTAACAGGAAGAGCTGCTGACTTGTTATCAGCTTTGGGAGTAGATTTAGTCTACTAAATAAGCAGGAATTTAACTTGTTTTGGACACGATGTACAATATGGGATATACATGATGTAGTTACACTTTTCCAGAGACCAGCAACTTTTGCTTTTTTTTTTTTTTTAACACTGTTGTGTGTCTCTGGATGTAGTTTTACCCAAATACTTGGAAAGGGAGTAGGAGACGTTACTTGGTGATTGTTGTCTCAAGTAAAAGATAAAAGCCTTTATTTGCTTACATATAACGGGCTTCATTGGGTTGCTCCTCAATTAGCAAGTGACATTTAAACAGCTCTGTATAAATGTAAATTACAGCAAAAAAAAAAAAAAAGTGGCTCAGAAATTCAAATGAAAAAAATCGGTGGAATGCAAATTAAAGATAAGAAACCATTTTCACCCACAATTTTCCTAAGAGGTTTAATTTAGAGAGTGTGTTAGACAAACTCAAGTAGTACCTTACTAGTCTGCATGAACATTTTATAAAATGGCCACTTATAACACCATTCTAATTGATGATAGGAAATTGAAGGCTGAATGAGAATGCTGGTGAAAAAAGGAACAGTAAAATGAGCCTCATAACTGTGATTATACACAGTTATTATCTAATCCTCTGAATATTCTCTCTGGTTTGCAAAGTCTGATATGATAGAAATTGGGATGAGGTATAGAGTAGGCAACTGTAGTACTACTTTTATGAGAATAGAGTGGCTTTCGGCACTTCTTCCAAGAGCCAATTTAATGTCTAACAACATTGGCACATCTGAGGAATTTTTTTGCAGTTTTTGCAGTATGGGATGGAGTACTGCTGTTCAAAGAAAAGCAATAATGTAAGAGGCTCCCTGGTAGGTTGAACAGAGCAGGGTTGATGGTCTGAAACACTTAATCTGTTCAACTGTAAAAGCTCCTTTACTCCTAACATTAGAGAGGCACCCTCTAACAAAAACAGGATGTCTTTGGGTTCACATACAATACCATCTTCTCAAAATACAAAAATTTTGTCCATGCAACTGAAGATGACATAATTACCTTTAGTCTATTGCTATAATCCAGAAAATATTTGTGTGTAAACTTAAAACATCTCTTTTAAATCATTTGCATATCCCATGATTTCCTTAAATCTGATCTGATGAATTGACCTGATCTAGGGAGGATCCATAAACAGCACATTCTAGCATATACCGTACTAAAGATACTTTTCAGTGAGAAATAACTTGGCTAGTCAGAAATGCAAAATATGGAACAGTTCAAATACCTGTATTTTCCCTTTGCTATGAAAGAACATAATCTGGTTTTCTGAAAATTTTAAATCAAATATTTTGTGAATACAAACAAAAACCAAAATGTGAAGTATATTTGATTTGTAATCTATCTGAAAGAATAAAAACAATAGCAGAATATAAACATGGCTAATGACAAATAGTTAACTTATTAACTCACTGAAAAAAATGGAAAAGTCTATAGCTATCTGACCTGGAGTACTGCTGTTGGGTCCATTATGATGCAGCACATAGTCAACTATAAGGCTTACTTCTGTTACATGCAATGAGAATCATCTTAAATTACTTAAACTTCATTTTAATTCAAGGGGTTCAGAAAATATGGCATCCACTGGTGATAAATTAAACATAACTGAGATTTCAAGTGGAAAAGCAATTCATTATAATTATAGTTTGTTTATCCATATGCAGTAATGCTATGGATTAGTATGCTTTTTTTGTGAATGATCAGAATGAAATGGAGTATATTATCTTTTTGATCAGAGATAGCTGATTTAATAAGAATATTCTTAATTCCATGAATAGGCAAACACACTTTTGTATTTTTTTCAAGACTTACAGAATCATACAGTTATAAACAAGTCATTTTTGACAACATGCAGTCATATACTGTATAGTTTGGTGTAATATGTAACTGTATGTATATGTATCTCAGATGTTTTCCTAAATCATTTTCACTTGAAAATCTATTTTTGGTTGTGCTGTTAGGTCTTAATTTGGCTTAGGATGCTGTGTAAACACTATGGTTTACATGTCTATATTTATGACTTACAGTGTTTCGTGAATCCAACAAGTTTTAACAGATTCTATTAAACATGACTGAGTACAAGGGTCAGCACCTTTTTCTAGTGCTGACACCTGATAACCCAGGCATTCTTCTTGCTATCCAAAAATCACAGGAGATCAAGTCACCAAGAGATTATCCATATAGGCATTTAATTTTTTACATTTTAAGCCTTACAGTTGCAGAGTGCTGTATCTGTTCCTGCTTTGTATGACAGTGCTAACATCATATATTAATGCCTTTTCTTCATTTCTACTATAAGCAAGTGGAAGAAAGTGCATGATGTCAGCGTGCTTGAAAATAATGGTGCTTTGCTTGTTCTACTGTACATCAGGGGAGAATTTTGACCGCCAAGCCAGCATACGGAGGTCTTTGGTTTACACAGACATTGTGGTAAGGCGGCCGAAGAAAATGAAACGGAGAAAGACTATTACAGGAATCCCTGACAACATCCAAAGAGAGCTAGGTATGGCTCATCAGAACTGTATTCCATTTCAATTAATTGCTTATCGTAACTAAACTCATAACATTTAATTGCGCTTATGAAACCAATACAGTCTGATAGCCTTTTAAAAGTTCCAAATGAATGTATGGCTGGTCACTAAGAAAGAATAGTGAGTGCATTCTTTGTCTTATTATTTTTCTCTCACCAAGAAATTAAAATTCCCATTTCACCCTGGAAATGCTTATGGTTTGCTGCAAGGAAATGCAATAAAACACATGTAGATACTGTCACTAGTGGACTAGGAAAATTTGCTAATTTTCAAGGCCATTTCACAGATGATAGTTTTCCTCCAGAAAATTTCCCATTTCAGATTATGTGTTGAATGAATACATACATTTCTATTATATGGTACATAGAAAGGCCATCTGAGTAGGAAAGTGAAAATGTGAAAATTATAGTTTTTATTGAATAGGTATTAAGTACATTGATATAACTTGCCAGTTTTATTGTTACCTAAACATTTCTCCAAGTTCTAACATATAATGAGGATCAATTTGTTATAGTTATTCTACTAACTATCTCCCTTCTTAAAAGTAAAATACAGGTAGTCCTCGATTTACAACAGTTCATTTAGTGACTGTTTGAAGTTAACAGCACTAAAAAAAGTGACTTATGACTGTTTTTCATGCTTACAACCGGCCCTGTGATCAAAACCCAGATGCCTGACAACTGGTACCTATTTATGACAGTTGCAGTGTCATATTATCACCTTCTGCACCCTTCTGACAATTAACGTAAATGGGGAAGCCAGATTTACTTAGCAATCGTGTTACTAGCTTAACAACTGCAGTGAATCACCTAACAACTGTGGCAAAAACGTTCATAAAATGGGGCAAAATTCATTTAACCTGTCTCACTTAGCAACAGAAATTTTGGGCTCAATTGTGGTCGTAAGTCGAGGATTACCTATAATAAGTCTTCAAAAATATGATGCAGATTCAAGTATATATGACTATGTATTTAACCAATTTATATAGCCACCTATCTCAATAATAAATACTTATGCTTTATAAGATTGTTTAATAATAGTTTTATTAAACATTACAGTTAAAAAAGAAAACCTAATACAAACTAAAAAGAAAAAAATAAGAAATAGAAAAATAGAAAAGAAAGAAAAAATAAGAGTATAGTAAAGAAAAGAAATATATAAAGAAATGTCTTCTCCTCCATGAGAACAAGTACAAACAATTTTAGTAACTTGTCACTTTCTGTTAAAATACAACGAATTGTCTCTTCTTCTTGTATTTCATATCTATATGATATATATGATATATCTATAAGATATATATCTTGTCTTAAAACTTCGTTGTTCAGTTCTGATCAGCAAAAAGTCTGTTAAGGGTTAGCAGAGATAATAACATAGCTATTTTAATCTTAATCAAGTAAATCAACTTTATATTCCTTTCTCTTTTAACCATCTTGATCTTTAATTCCTTCAAATAATGCCCTAGAACTTCCTTTCCTTTCCTTTCTTTCTTTCTCTGTTCTCACAGAATTTTTAACAAGTCTCTTTTTTTAAGAGTTCAAAGCAATAGCATGTTTTTCATGGAAAGGACTCTAATAATTAATTTCAAAAACATATTTAAAATTCATCTAGACCCTTAGCACATTGATAACTTTCCAAAAATCAACATTCTATTTATTTATTAAAAACATGTAGCTGCCCATCTTCTAACAAACTCTGAGTAGCTCCCAATCAGATGTTAAAACAGCATATAAATTCACATTAAAACTGCAAATTAAACAGATCAAAATATTAAAAACATTATCACATGAATATGGCATGGTGCAAATTTTTGCAATGGATGAAAGTACTTTACAGACCATAAAGCACTCTTTTTGAGGCCATTGCATTTCCAAATCATCGTTAAAGAAATGGTCATAAGATGAGGATTACCTGTAACATCATTTGAATGATACCAACAGTGAAGTTGGATATAATCAGAGTTCTCACATAAAAAATAATTTAAAAATTTTGTAGATGATAAAGCATTATATGATTTGGGGTCTCAGACTAATTTTTGCAATGGCTTTATACTTCGTGCAAAGAACAACTGTACATATATCAAAACTGGAATTTCTAACAATTAAAAAAATAAAAGATGCTTATGATTTTAGCAGAAATCACTGCTAAATAAAGGCGAATATGAGCAAACAACTAAAACATTTAAATCACATCTACAGCTACATCCAAATTGTGCACAGTTGGAATTTTGCTTCTCTCTATCATCTCTTGAGATAGGTCCTCATGCAACATCATATTTCATTTTTAAAGTGCTTCTAACTTCAATAGAGATAGGAGGAACTGAAGTTCACGAAATCCAATCCTTTCACGCACAGTTAGCTACAGTGATTTTATAAATGAGAGCCTGTGATCATAATGTAGAGTTCTGCATATGAAACACTACCTTTTTATTATTCTTTCCTCTTCTGTTTACTTTCTCTGTGCTAGTAACTGTTCAATTTTCTGATGACCACTTACTTCTAACCCATTTAGAATATGCATTGCATATTGCATTGGAGAAAAGATAGCTTGTAATTACCTTTTCCAAGATACACAGCCAGTGATCCCTCCAGAACTTCTTAAGACCTACCACAGTGAAAGCTGAGCAGGGCTTTTTAAAGCACATTTTTAAATTACACAAGGTTACACAATTATACTTTTCATGTGTGTACATGTCTTCATCCTAATTTTTTTGCCAATGGAAAGGGATCTCTAGAGGAGCATAAAATTATTAGAACCAGGAAGTTATTTTCAAATTTCAAGAGTTAATATAAGAAACTCCAGTTAAATGGACCTTATTTGGGGAAATGAAAAGAAAGAAAATTAAAGAAAGAGAAAATAAATGCACAAACATAATACAGGTATGTTATACTTAATCATCAGGAATCAGTACTTGTATGACATATAAGAAAAGAACTCTATGCATGCATTGCCTAGAGAGTGCTTAACAGCAAATTATAGTGAATATAATTTCATGTTCAGTCAAGAGGATAATTTATGAATGTAAAAAGTGAGAATGTGATTCAATCCTCAGATGTTGCCAGAAAAAAAAAATCTAAATCCATACACTAATAATTACAAGTTAAACAATTATTGTAATTACTCACCTCAGAAGTGTCCTGCTGGATTAAATCGAAGCACATTTTAATCCAAGATTCTATTCCTTAGACTGGCCAATCAGATGCCTCTGGAAGATATACCCCTTTTTCACCTTCCCTGCCTCTACAAGTGGCAATCACTCAGCGGCTTCATGTAGATGTTAAAAAGAGTGGAGAGAGTATTGACCCTGTGGCATGGCACAAAGGAGAGGTTATGAGCTGGACCTTTTATTCTCTTACTGATTGGTATTGGCCTTAGCAAAAGGAACCAAACCAGCACAAAACTGCACTACCTAGCCTCAAACCGCCCCGCCTGACCCAGAAGATACCATGGTTAATGGTATCAAAGGCTGCTAAGAGATCAAGAGAACAAGGATGGTTGCACTACGCCCATTCCACTCTTGTCAGACATCGTTGACATGAATTTCAACTGGGAACAAATCCGAGTGACTTTGTGCATCAGGTGTTGAACAAATTCCTCTGCAGATCCTGAAGATGATTATCCGAGCCCCCTCCCCATTCCAAGAGGGACTAGGTGACCCAGAACAGGGCCACAGAGTGATACCCTGCAGGCACAATCAGGACAGAAAAGTAATGTGGTTTTGCCACTCTTAGTGACATAAGGTAGGCCTTAATAGCAGCTGTACGTCATGTCCAATCGGAGTTATCCTTTGTTTTCATCCAGCAGTGCTCTAGGAATCTCTTAAACTCTTTCAAAGCCCACTACTCCTCCATCAATCATGAGGAGAGTCAGGAGGGATGAGTCAAGAGAGGCACTTAGGTGCAGTCTTGTCCAGAGCTGTTTTTCCAGGATATGCTACCAAGGCTTCTGCAGGGTCATGCAGCAACCCCCCCCCCCCGGGATGTCCCCCAGTTCCTCTGGAATCCATTAGAGTCTATCAATAATCAGGAAATGACTGCTTGAATGGGTCGAGCTTCCCTCCGGAAGGGTGTGTGGCATAAGAGAATCTCAAGCATACCAGAATATGATCTAACCATGTTGTTATTAGTTGCGAAGTCGTGTCTGACCCATCACGACCCATCATGGACAACATTCCTCCAGGCCTTCCTGTCCTCTACCATCTTCTGGAGTCCATCTAAGCTCACGCCTACTGCTTCAGTGATTCCATCCAGCCACCTCATTCTCTGTCGTCCCCTTCTTCTATTGCCCTCACTCTCTCCCAGCATTAGGCTCTTCTCCAGTGAGTCCTTCCTTCTCATTAGGTGGCCAAAGTACTTGAGTTTCAACTTCAGGATCTGGCCTTCTAAAAAGCAGTCAGGGTTGATCTCCTCTAGGACTGTCCAGTTTGATCGCCTTGCAGTCCAGGGGACTCGCAGGAGTCTTCTCCAGCACCATAGTTCAAAGGCCTCAATTCTTTTGCGCTCAGCCTTTCTTATGGTCCAACTTTCACAGCCATACATTGCAACTGGGAAAGCCATGGCCTTGACTATACATACTTTTGTTGGCAGGGTGATGTCTCTGCTTTTTAATATGCTATATAGTTTTGCCATAGCATTCCTTCCCAGGAGCAAGCGTCTTTTAATTTCTTGGCTGCAGTCCCCATCTTTGGTGATCTTGGAGCCCAAAGTAAGGAAAATAGTACAGTAGCAACATTCCCAACTGATCTCTTGAGCCCATCTTTAGAAATAGGGTCTCACAACCAGAAACGTGGGGAGCAAGGCCCTAAGTTAGTATACTCCTGGGCGTTCTGGATTAATGTTATGTTCTGGGAGTTGGTTGAGGTAGTCTTTTTAATGTTCCTGCAAAGCACTAATTCCTCCTAGTCCTCCAGTCAAGCCTATTGTTAGATCAAGATAATAGATTTTGTATCTCTTTTCCAATTCTGTATCACAACATATAAACGACACATCACTGTTGAACTCAAATGCATTTAGAATCAGGAAATCATTAGAATACAGTATCTACTGGAACCTAAATAATATTGTTTTATTTGACGGCATAGAAAGCTTCAATTAATATTTTAATTTTTAATGAATACTTCTAAATATATTTTATTTCATGTTAATTTTGATTAAAAAATCAGTATTAGGTTTTAAGTGTTGTTTTGTCATGAAGCACTGAATTCTTAAAAAAAAGGATTGCACAATTTAAGTAGAATAATGTTGGCAGAAAATAATTTTTAGTATTTTAAATGAATTTAGTAGGATTCATTCTTGTTTGTGAGTGGAAACTAATTACAGTGAGGAAAGAGTTTAGAAAGTACAGGGGTTGGAAAACAACTTATATTTGATACTTTCTTTCTTGAGATATCACAAAATAGTCCATTTTCATTTCTGCTAATAGTGCCAGCTGGTATGATTTAAAATATACTTGAATTGAAGCGCATAAGGAACCTACTAGACTGCTGTTGGCTGTCTTTATGCATTAGTTGATATCAATTATTTTCATCTTTTTAAAAATCCTAATATATCACATATATAATATATAATGCAAATATAAGCATACCAAGAGTCCTTTGTTAGGAATACCTGAACATATTGGAACTTGTATGGTAAAAACTAAATGGGAGTTCTGTATAAACTTTTTATTAATGGACACATTTTAAATGCAATTATAACAATGCAGTATATTTATTTTTCTAACAGTTTTGTTTTAATATCTACAGTTGGCAATGGCAAATGTGACATCCGTGGCCATTCATTATGTGTCCCTGATCATTATTCTACACTAGGAAGACTTGAGGGCTATCAGTCTTCTATGCAGCAGTGTGGCACCAAAGACTCCAGCTGTCAGACAGAAGATATTAAAGTGGTGCCACCCTCAGTTAGGCGAATACGTGCACAGAAAGGTCAAGGAATTGCAGCCCAGATGTCACAGTTTTCCAGTTCTTCTGGAAACATGTCTGTGATGAGTGATTCTGCTGGAGTCATGTCTACTTCTCACCTAAATAATGACCTGGGCTTTCACAGTCTACCTCGATCGGGAGCAAGAGTGTCCCTACAGTTACTTGAACGTAGGCATAGCCTCTCCAAGTCAACAGAAAGTGGACCTTTGTTACATCATGTAGGTGTGTGGCAAGGAAATGAAAGAATAGATGATATGAGAAATGGCTGTAGGATAGATGGGCTACAGAAGCCAAAATCTCAAGAATTAAACTCTGAGAATGGAAAAACAGAAAGTACAGCATGTATGATCTCTCCACATGTTGCATATTCTACCATCAACACACCAAATGCTTCCCTATCATCCTGTTCAGATGTTATGAATAACAATACGGCAGAGAGTTCCGAGACAGTAGATAAGAAAATGATGAACTCTTTGTATCTAAAGCCTAGAGACAATCTTGTCGGCAATGGTATAATAAATTCAAAAGAGCAACGTCATTCTTCTAATGGCACCTGGTGTGACAACAGCTCAACACATCACTCACAGGCCTCAGACACCACTATCTCATCCAATGGTGTAATGGTGTTTGTATCCTTTTGTGATACAGGAACTACAGAAAGTGTCCCCCAAAGTGTGACCTATAATTTTAGTAACGATCACCGTTTTTCAAACCATTCTCACAACATTAACAGTAGAAGTGAATCAAATTACACTGTGGACAACATACAGGACAAAGTTAAACAAAATGCAAAGCACTGTGGATTCAAACCTTCTGGAAATGACACCACTTTACACATGTCAAAGTGTGCCATTCCAGGTTGCTCCAGCCCTGACTCCCTTGAAAGAGTCTTAGCCAAAGAAGACTCACACTCTTTATATTCTGTGGACAATGATATCTCTTACCCTTCTGTGCATGTGGATTCAGATGTCCAGTCTGTTAAAAGCTGCAGTGAAAATGGTTTTGCAAATCCCAGGCATAGTGTCATTAATGTGTTTGCTAGAACCGAGAAGAAATCTCTGGAGGATTTTGCAAGTTCCAATGACAAGTCACTCACACGTAGCATTTCTTTTAAAAAGGCAAAAAAACCACCTCTCCCACCATCCAGAACAGATTCTCTTAGAAGAATCCCCAAGAATAAACCTCAGTCTAGTGGACAAGTACTGGATGATAAGTTGATAGCTAGCCTTCAACATTCCTTGCAACTGAACCTCCAGTGCAAAAATGGCAGCTCACCATCACAAAGTCCCTGCAGTGATTATGATGATCCTTGGATGCTGCGGTCTCGTAGCCAGAGCACTGTGAGTGCCAGTAGCAGCATGATGTCTGCCACAGGACTGAACATGTATTCCATCTGTGCAGTCACACCAGCTCAGAGTGACACAAGTAGCATCAAATCAGAATACACTGACCAGTGGTGTTACTACAGTGATTATCCTGGGACTCCAGATGACCATTTAAAATCCACAGCAATTTATTCCTCTAATACTTTACCAAAGCTAACTGATTATAATGTTAGTCACCTTAGTGATGAGTCAAGGGCTTCTATACCGCCAGTGCCCTCTGGAGTGGCCAAAACAAAAGCTATTTCTCCAGAAAAATCACAGAGAGTTACATCACCGTCTAGTGGGTATTCCAGCCAATCCAACACACCCACAGCACTTACACCAGTGCCTGTCGTCCTAAAGTCTATGTCAACAGGAAATGCTAAGTCCAAGATGAAGCCTAGAGTGCCTGAAAGAAAATCAAGTCTACTGTCTTCAGTTTCAGTGTCTTCCTCTTCCACATCTCTCTCATCAAATACATCTGCTGAAGGGACCATAAAGAAACCTGATCCTACCCTGAGCTTCCCTCCAGCTACATCATCTTCACTAGTATCTTCAGATTCCAATGATCCTCTTCTTCCTCCCCCACCCCCTCCCGTAGCAGATGTTACTGATCTTCCTCAGCCACCTGAATCACCAAGTTTTCCACCTCCTCCCCCAGATGTTGTCACAAATGCCTATTTTCCTCAAAGTATTGGATGGTTCAATAATCAAGATATTTCAAACCATTCTTCTCATTCCTTGCTTCCTGATTCTTCTCATCACCTCCCACCCACTTTTCCAACTTCAGTTCCTCCACCAGCCCCACCCTTGGATCCCAAATTCATGAGAGATGGCCATAAACCTGTACCGTACTCTTTCAAGAAACGTAATCTGGAAGCTCCTTGCAACAATTCAAAACGGCTCTTAAATAAGGATGTTCTCCCAAGGCCTGCAATGCCACTAATAACTACTGAAGCTCTCCAGAGGGTACAGCTGAGGTCAGTGAAGAAAGCTGTGAAATCAGAGGTAGAGCAGTCAGCTGAGTCTGCTTCCAAAGCAAGTCCTCAGGAGAAAAACCAGGATTCTTTTTCTGCTGAGTTGCCTTTCAGATCACATTTGTCAGGAGGATACAATGACACGCTGGGTGCAGTTGGGGGTGAAGCCCAGAGATCACCTGTTTGTAGCCCAAACAGCAGAAGGTCTGAGCCTACCAGTGCTAAAATGCCCAGAAATGCAATAAGCACAATTAACTCATTTGCCAGCGAATCACAACCAGACAAAGCTGAAGAAGTTTTGGTGCAGAACCAAGACCCTTGTAGTAATCTTGCATGTTCATCCCTTCAGGAACAATCTGGATTTCTCAGCAAGCCTCAGGATATATTGCCAAACAAGAAGCCACCGCCTGTTTCAAAGAAACCCAAACTGTTCCTGTTTGTGCCTCCCCCTCAGCCTGATGTTACAACGGAGAAAATAGCTGTGGGTGAAACAGCAAGAAGCATTCCAAGTACAACTATGAAGGATGCTGAAATTGCACGGTACAGCCAGGTTAACAATTCTCCTACAGATGGACTTGGTTCCTATGAAATGGAGTCTAGCGATCCGGTCCCCGAAGGAGGAGCTGCGAGTCCTACCTCCTGTGAAAGCAGGGTCTCTATTCTGCAGCCCCGGCTGGAGGAGCCGGTTTCTTCCTGTGAGCGAAGCAGTCCAGACAGAAATGTAGACAGCATCCCTGGAGCAGAGAAGCAGTTTTCTCAAGGGGATGAAAGTTGTAAGTTTTTTTCCACTGTGTTTTGTCTTTTCACCTAGTCTTATTAGTCACCAATCACATCTGGAATTGGGGAGAGTCACATCGTAAGAACAGTAAAGATTTTTACATCATATGTGGTAAAGATCATATGCCCTCAATCTAATTTCACACTAGTCTTAAGGAAAACCAAAAAGCTCGGATTACTATGGGTAGTGAAATTATTACTTAATTCTTTTTTTAAAAAAAAACCTTATTAGATAAGATTTTATTAGCTTTATCCCTATTCTAAAAAAAAAAAAAAATCCTGCCGCAAAGGTGTACGTTTTACATCAAGGGGATGATGATTTCTTTATTGGGGGAAGAGTTCCACTTTGATTCTATCCAAAAACTTTCAGCAGGCTTTTAAATTTGGTAATAAACCAGTAAAAGCCTGTTCCTGAGAACATTATTAAAAGACAGGTCCGATTGTTGTTGTACAGATAGTTGATGTACAGACTGTATTTGTTCATTTGTCGTTCTGTCAACTATTGCATTAGATTACATTTTTGCTTGGTTCTTTTCATCCTCGTATTTTAGCTGAAGCGATTGAAGCAGATGCAGCAACCAGCTTTTTGCTACAGAGCCCAAGCCATGGGGAAGGCAGTGAGATAATGGCAGTGCCAAGTCGACCAAGGACAACTGAGGATCTTTTTGCAGCCATTCACAGGTACTGCTTAAATTGGTTTTTTTTTTAAAAAAAAAAAAAGATTACTTTGTTGGGTGTCCTTTGCAGTTTCTTCAGTATGTTTCTTCTATCATAATGTTTGTGCTTTCATTTTTCATTAATTAATGCATCCATGTCCCACCTTCCTTGTATGTAGGGGTAAAACCTTTCATTGCTTTACAATAACGTTTCCTTCTCCTACCCACAAAATCATCTTTTATTACATGATCAGCCATGGTCTCTTCTTGGTGCCAGGTGACTCCTTGTTTGATTGTGCTCTTGTCTCAGTCTACATGATTTAACATATACTATTGCTTTTTCTGTGTGTCTTTTTCTTTCTCTTCATCCCCTCCATCTCTTTTTTACTCCTGGTGCAGTTTGGGACAGAGGCTCAACTCTAATGCTTCATGGCAAGCTTGGCTTAAACTGGCAAGTAAACACAATATAACCATCATAAGGGAAAACATATGACAATAGCCAGAATAGAGATTGTCATAGTCTAATTAAAGATAACATGCTGCTTTATCAACTGAAATGTGCAATACCGACAAACCCTACTCTTTCTTAATTTTAAAAAGGGGAAATGATTATAGGTACACATTTCAGCTATTTTAGCTTGCCTCAAATGATTTGAATTATGAACATCTTTTGAGGGAGTTATTGTTCAACACATCTGCAGGGCTTCAGGATCAGGAAGGCTGGGTGAAGTCAGTGTAAACATTATTTTTACAGGAAGGTTCTTTGGTGATAAATTTTTAGAAGCCAACACCCTCTAAATATGCTTCAGGAGAACTTCAATAGAGAAAGTACAGGATTACCAATTTGTAGTATCTAGCATGAAGCATTGGTTCCATCTAGTGGTCATTTATTGCCATTTATTGAACTGGTTTCAAAGTAAAATTGAAAGTGACTACATTAACACACAACCAAGCTGTTGCCTGCTTTTATTCATAGGCACAGGAACTACAACACTTTAGTTACTCGAGGCACAAAGATTTTTCTTGTTATGTCCTAGTGTGGTAGAATGTTGACTTTCATAGGGATAGTAACCATTGTAAAGATAACTTCAAATCATGTCCAACTTATATTTTGCAATCAACAGTGTCTTCCTGTGTCTACAGGGGGAAGTGTAGTTGGGGATCATTTGATGACACAGCAGTGTCATTATGCAAGGCCACCCACCCTTTTACCCATTCATGATGTCATCATCTGCAGAGCCCATAAGGGTAAAGTTCTAGCACAATACTATCACCCAGCTTTCATTAATCTGGTGACAGCAGCAAGGTCCTGTAGATGTTGCTGTTTGCAATGTTAAAGCATGACAGCAAAAACAGTTTTGCTGCTGGGACTATACTATTTCATGATAGTTATTCGAATTAAATCTGGGATAATTGACACAATCATCAATTTTAATTCTGTAAAAGATAATTTTTCTTACATGTAGTGAGAAAATTGAGGATCCCTGCCCCCCCCCCCCCAAAAAAAAGGAAGAAAGAAAAAAGAAAACTGACTGTAATGTGATGAAGGAATAAAAGGAATAAAAGCAAGTAAACAATTCCTTATGACATTACAAATTTTTAGGTACATAAAATAACTCTTCAGGCATTCAAGCTAATATGAATCAGAACCAGACCAGAAATAAATAAAATATATTAAAAAAGAAAAAGAACCAGACCAGAAATAGAGCCAGTTTGGTCCAGTGGTCAAGGCAATAATATCAGTTAAAATCAATTATATTATACTATATTATATATAATATATTATATTATATTGTTCTTTTAGTCATAGATTTTATACACGCTCATCAGGAGAGGCTTCTTGTCAAGCAAGAGAGAAAGAATGATGCATAATGGAGGCCTTAGGGGGAAAAAACTACACTTTCATAAGTGAATTTAAATTCCATGGTTTTGTATTCTTAAGTTGTTTAATTTTTTGGATGCTGCTCTCTAAGGGGGTCTGTATTGCACAGATATATAAAACAATAGGCGTTGTTTAGTTAATGTGTATAAGACAGAAATAGAGAACAGCAGTTTGCATTATTGCTGATTTTCATATTACAACATAGTGCTATGTATATGTGTGTGTGTGTATGTGTGTGTATACACACACACATATATATATATATATATCTGTGAATGTGTCCACTGTTCAATTTGCTACAGTGATGCAATCTGCATTTCCAATCTTTTCTGATTCTGTATTAACAAATTGTTCTTCCTGTCAAACTGAATATGGAAAAAGAACATTTTTCCGTTTCTCTTAACATTTCTTGCTGATGTGTACTACTGCAAATGCATAAAAATATACAACCTAGTTTTCTTTAGAGGCAGAATATGTAATCAGAAATATGTTGGTTAGAACCTACAATCATAGTATCACGTTTCCAAAAACCATAGCACAGCTTTCTTCTCCACCACTCTGCTACAGCTCTCCCCTCCCTTCTTTTTTATCTGGAGGCTTAGCCATTTTGAATCACTACCCTCCTCTCCTGTCGATGGGTACTGCTTCCAGGGATGGAATAATACTGGTGGGTTGCATACACTGTTTAACTAAATGTAAACAGTAATTCAAGTATAATGCAGCAGAGACCAGAAACTATGCCATACTTATTCCAATAATTATTTCTGAGTTACTTTAAAGATGTTTATGTATTTGGATAGCATTAACACATGCTTGGTATTATAGTTTGTGTTGGAATACAACTCCGATAATTACATATTTGTTCTGTTTTAAACTATACATTTTGAGTGGGGGGGGGTTTCCTTCCATGCATATCTTTTTTTAATGAATATCTTTTCTATCGTGTGACCTTAATATAGTCAGTTGAACGCTAAATAGTTAAACACTTTGTCCAATTTGCTAATTGCTGTTTGATAGGCAAGTGAAGTGCTTGATGGATTGATAATTTCCCACAGAGCTTATCAATTTTATTTTGATTTCATTAATTCCATTCCCATGGCAATTTCATGGGGAAATGCATATTAGCATGCGTTTTGTAAACTGTACTCAATTTGGAAGAGATTATTCAATTGCAAATATGTGTTCATTAAAAGTAATGTTTAGCAAGATTCAAATATTTGTTTTACAAAATAAACAGAAGAAACGTTTAAATTGCATGCACTTTGATTTAGTTTTGTGCCCGGTAGCTAAAAATGATTTAAGATCTGAAATATGGCATATAATTCCTTTTTTCGAAAAATACACTTCCACTAGTTACTGTACTCATATGTTTCCTTCTTAACAAGTCCTCATTTAGCAACCACAATTGGGACCAACAATTTGATCATCGAGCAAAGTGATCATTAAGTGAAACCATGACTGCTTACGAATGTACTTCAGCTTACCCTTGCTTTACGGAAGGTTGTAAATATGAGTAGTCGTAAAGTTTTTCATCACTATTGTAATTGTGGTCGCTATCTGAGGCAGGCAGAGGACTACTTTGTTATCTTTTTCCTCTTGGGATGCAAAATAAGTTTTTTATATGAGAGGCTAGTAACTTTTTCCTGTTTTTTCCCAACTCACAATCACAGATCCAAAAGGAAAGTCCTTGGCCGCAAAGATTCTGAGGATGATCACGCTCTAAATCATTCTCCATCACCCCCAGTCACACCTACTGGTTCTTCCCCAAACTTGCCTTCCCTGAGGCAGGCAGGATCAATTCAGAGAAATATTCGCAAGAGCAGCACCAGCAACGACAACTTCAAAGCATTGCTTCTTAAAAAAGGGAGCCGTTCAGACACCAGTTCTCGTATGTCAGCAGCAGAGATGCTAAAGAATACAGACCCAAGATTTCAAAGGGCTAGACTAGATTCTACCGGAGAGCTGAGTGAGAGCACAGTGGCTTCTCCTACCAAGACCAAAAGGCCCCAGGAGGAATGGGCCAAGAGTGAAGGCCTGATGCCAAGGAGTCTGTCTCTATCCAGCACAAGATACAGCAGATCTCGAACCCCACCCTCTGCTGCAAGTAGCAAGTACAGCGCTCGAAACCGGATCCAGAGTAGCCCTATGACGGTCATCTGTGAGGGCGATGTAGAAGTAGTTGAATCTGCAGAAAGTAGAACTCGCAGGTTTTCAGAAGAGGAACCGCCTGATGTATTTGAGAGTGATGATGCAGATATTAATGAAAATAGAGACTCTACTGAGGATGACAACATGCTCATGGACTTGTTATCTTAATGGGTAACACAGAATGCCCTTCATTTTTTATACATATATATATTAGCATTTAAACTAAAAAAAGTTTAAATGAGACTTAAGAGGCTAGACTTTCATATATAACAAATAAGGCACCGAGTCTAAGTAAAATTTAGGGTGAATTTGTGTATGGGATGCTGTTTAGATGATGCAATACTGATATTCTGTTCAGCATAATTGGATTGACTTTTTTGTTTGGAAGACACTAGTAACCAGACCTCTCCATTAAAGCCTTAATAACAACAATTATAGTAATGACAGTTCTTGGATTGTTGTTTGAGCATGCTTTTTTTTTTCTTTTTTGAGGGTGTAAAAAACTAAGTAAGCCTGCAAAAAAAAAAAAGCGGGGGGAAGCTTCTGTGGTACAGGTGAAAGTAACTTTTTAAGTATTATATTTATAAAACCTAGTAAACTTTCAGCAGGGACTATTGGAAAGGAATGTGCAGCCTATTAGTTAGCAGGACTGGCATTGTCCCACTGCTGCTTCTGATGTGATCTGTGATCTCCTCTTATGATCTAACCATGTCTTAATAATATAACAAGAGTTTGGGTTAAATTTTGAAAATTCCAACTGGGGACAAAGAAACACTTGTGATACAGGAGTGACTGCTGTGCAGCCATATTACAATCCATTTGCTTGGTTTTCAGAAGCCATTTATGCTATGTGGTTTCTCTGAATAAAGTTTTGGAGACCTAAAATAAATAGCTGCAGGCTTATAATGGGGATGTAGATAGATTCAGGGGAAACATAATAATCAGCCATTAATGTTTCAATTTTAAAATAAATGCAACATTGGAAAAGTTACACCATAGAACTGTGAAGAATACGTTTTCCTTTTCTATTAAACTGTGTGGAATTGTATTGTTGTCAACTTTTGTCAAAAGGGAGAAGAGCTTTGAATAACATATCACTTGAAAGTTTCAACAGTGACTGTCTTTTTGTTACCAAAGAGTGCACTACAATTACTTTTACTTTTTAGGAATAGCCAGCATTTCCTTCCTTCTAGGGAAATAACATTGCTCATTTAGAAGACTTAACGTTTATTAAGAATTTATCATTGATTTACAAAATAACACTTTCTTCCTTGTAAAGAAAACTACAGACAAAACTGCAGTTTTGCTCACCGTTTTGTAAAGAAACTTTTAATTTTTGAAAAGGAATTTTGCATAAGTTGATAGTCTGTAAGGTTTTTATAGTATTTGTACATAATGGAAGTTCTTAAGGTAATTCTTGTTTTCTCAGAGTTTGGAATTTCTACATTTTTAGATGTTAAGAAAAACCCTGTATGTAGATAATTTATTTTGATGAAAAACACTTGACTCCTTTTTTGCCCTCCATCTCTATATTGTTAATACTGTAAATTTCAGGGGTCTTCATTCAACTGAAGATAGAGACAATGCTGTGATTCTGCTTTAATAAACAAGGCTGCCATTTGTCATTTTGTGACTCAGATTAATGACCATTAATTCTATTTCCATACATCTCCTTAAATGAACATTAGCAAAGGATCATATTGGGAAATCCAGATGCTATCATTAAAATATATTTATCAGATAGTGTTTATCTCTTACAGTATATGTTTATTTTCCTCTTAAGAAAGATGATCCACATAATCAGAAAGATCCAAAAGGAAAAAAAGAAACCATTCCATGTATTTTATGGGGAGAGTAGCTTTGACATTTGCAGTAATCAGTAATCATTTCTGAAAACACACTGGTTGCTGTGAGGATACATCAGCATGGTATTTTTTTTTTTAAATAACTGCATTTTAGTTCCAAAATTTCAGATAAAATTAAATACTTTGAAATTATGTATCCACCTTGCTCTGCCTATCTGACTGAAAACTCTATTGCTGTTTAGAGAATAGCTTACTTATGTTATTGTGTTCAAACTCAGCGATGTGTACCCACTCTTAGAATGCTTAGAAACATTTGTACACATGGGCTTAGGAAAAATCTGCCTACAGTATTTGTTCTCAAACCAGGGAGTTTGAAGCAAGCATTGAAGAGAAAGAGAGTAGGGCATAGTATACCCCATCACACTTCACTACCAATAATTCATATCAAAGGGATGAGTTTGCAATAAACAATGTTAAATGGAACCAGTTGTGTAGATTTTATGTCATGTTACCAATAATAGGGAAATATAATATAATCCAAAAAAAGGTTCACAGGCTTAGAAATTGTTGTATCTGGACCAGCCGGTCTGGGGAAAACTAACATTCTGGAATTCCGTGGGATGTTCTTCAGAACAGAATATTTTTAACTACTTACTTGCACATATATCAGTCATACACAGACATGCTTGTTTTCATTTTTTTCCTTGTGCTTCAGCCAATGCATGTATACAATACCTATTAAACCAAGATGTTTACAAAATAGCGTACTTGCCAAATAAGGAATTATTCCCCAAAACATATATAATTAAATATGAAACATTACATCATGTGTTCTTAGTAAAAGTACAATTATTTGATTTTAAAAGGCAGGCTTGAGTATGTATTTATTAGTAAACCATTTAATTGCTTACAAACAATATCCAATTTCAGGCTTGCCTCTTCTGTTTAGTACTAAAAAGCACCTTTAGTGTTTGGTATGATTAAGCCAACTGTTAAGAGGGCATGAAATTTTAAGGGAGAGTTTTATGTCTCGTTAAGTTTAGAGACTAATGTGTACAAAGAAATATTTCCTCTTTCTATTGTTTTATGGCACAAAATTAGTATGTATACATTTTTCTTTGTTTGCTATTCTCTGTTATACGGGTAGTCCTTAACTTACAACTGTAATTGAGCCCAGAATTATGGTAGATTATGTGATCATTCTCAATTTTACAACCTGCTTTGCAGTGGTCATTAAGATATTAACCATGGCCATTAAGCAAACATCATAGTCATTAAGTGAAATCATTATTCACAATGGGCATTTTGCCAGAAACTGTGATTTTTGCCCCCCCCCCAAAGCATAATTTGTGATCACATGATTATGAGATGCTGCAAATGGCTGTAAATGTGGGCTGATTGCCGAGCTCCAAAATGCAGTTGTGACGGAGGTGGCCCCTGGAACTTAAAATCTGGGTTGTAAATAGTGTTGGGGAGGTCTGTTATAACTTCAAAGGGTCACTAAGCTACTGGTTGCAAGTCAACTATCTGTATACACAAACATGAGGAAAAACCAGCATACAATACAATTTCATTGAGAAGTAACACTAGTTTTCCATATTAATTATACTGAATAAAAATACAGGATAACTGGGAGATCTGTGATAAGAATTTTAGCTGAAGTACCAGAATTGAACTCTACATTAATCTTTTCTTTAAAAAAAGATATATAGCGCCTTACAAACTTTCAGGTATTAAAAATGCAGTTTATAATACAGTAAAAGTAAGAATCATACATTAATGATGCATTAATCTAGGAGTCTGAAACCCCCATCATAATCTGACCAAGTTATGCTAATTTTCATTATAGCAACATGGATCAGCAATACTGCATATTTCCATGGTAGAAAAACTCACCGCATACTATATGGAAGATAATAGCATTGAACTCTAGTGAACTAAACTGCTAAATTTTCTGCTTTATGGCCCTCAAGGCTTCACAAATATTTTCACCCCAAAACAAACCACAAACTAATGTCAAATATTTTCACCCACAAACTAATGATAGTTGAATCTCCTTCAGGCATGAATATTCTTGAATATTTATAGCATGTGAATGATAATTTACATACACTGTGGCATCTAACAATCAACTGGAATCTGGTTTTCCAATTAAGGATATCCCTTCTTAGTTCTTAAGTACTTGCCTCAAAAAGCAATCTTTTGAAGTGAAAACTGTGTCAAAAATGTAACTGCGACTAATGCCTGCATTTATAACCTTTGCAGCATCTGTCATGTGTTCGCCACAACAGTCAGTCAGCACTATACTGCATTGTTCTTTGGTTAACTTGATTTTTTTTCCCGTTCTTACCCCTTTACAGATTGCTTTAAACAAGCTTTATTTCCTGAACTGCTTTTGTCCCTGCACAGAACTTTCCCCAAAGTCCTAACTACAAGTAAACAAGGTCAGCTCTGTGAACCTTAATAATTTGATTAGAACAGGCCAGCCCACTACCCTTGCTATCTGAAACTGACAAGATCCTAATCAGTTTCACGTTGAAGGCTTTTCTTTGCCTCTTAAGCAACTGCAAGCACCACAGCCAACCTACTGCATTCCTTTCAATGTCTATTGCCCATTGTGTGCCTGCTTACTCTTGTCATCCCTCCTCCAATGAATGTAAATACAAATTACATTCTAGTTAATTATTTTAGCACTGGGATGAGTATTGCAAAGGGTGAGGGAGTAAGGAAAAAAGGGAAGCTGAAGAAAAATCATAAGCAGTTACATGATTTTCACACAGCAACCACTTCACATAATGATTGAGTTGCCGGAACCAATTGCTAAACAAGAATTACCTATATATTCAATAATTATTCAGAAAAATTAAGTTCAGAGAATTAAGCGCCACAATCAATAAGTTAAGGAGGAGAAAGGGAATGGGTGGCCTCTGAAGCAAGCTGCTCTCATTCTCACCCTAAAAACTGCCCCCTAAATAGGCCACAAGTGCCTCCCAAATTCAGCAACCCCTGATTTACAGGACACATCAGAATTGTTTAAAAATCCCCAGCCCAGTGTTTCATTTAAGAGGCAGCTGGGGATTGGCATTAACTTTCTTACCTTTTAAATAACATTTTCAAAGGGGTCCAAAAGGGCTAAAGGGGAAGCAGATAGGATCTCCTGGCTTACCTAAGTAATCTCTTTTTGGTCAGCTCAAGAGTACTGCCTTTTAATGTTTTTCTCCAAGGGATATGGTGGGATTTGGTAATGCAGCAGGGGTGTAATTTTCTGCCCCTTTCCCTATTCTGTGGAAGGTGGGGGGACTTGAAATGGCTTTTTATTTAATTAGTATATCAAGACTATCAAAAAATCACTATGTTTGATTTTGCAGCAAAGATCAGCAGTAAAATAATGCCCTTTAGCAGTTTGCGTCCTACTGAAGGAAAACAAAACTCCAGAAACAACTGTGGGATTTACAGAGATTCTAGATTTCTTTACCTGCCTTTCAAATTTCCTTTCTCCCCAGATTAGGCCTCCAATTTGGTGGAAAAGTCTTGCATAAGCATTACTGTTTTTGTAGAAAGTTCAATTAATTTACTACAAAACAGAATTCTTCCCTTTCAAGGATTATAAATATTATAAAATAATAATTATTAGCATTATTCTATTAGTCATATTTTATCAAAAAAAAGATGAGTTTTATATCAGCATAGAAATTTAGGCAATGGTAAAAGCAAAGAAATATGTTAGAAAATATACAGGAACACAGCTTTTATACATAAGGAAAGTTCCCTTTTCAATTAAGCATTTAAAAGTTAATACTTATAATCTGTATTGCTGTGGAAAGAGTTTAGCTTTTTTTGATAAGCCAAACTTCATTATGCCTGTTCAGCAATTTAAATGGACTGTCATAACCAGCAGTATAATAGATCTTTTCTTGAAATGTTCTTCCATCCCGCCTTAAAGTTTCAGCAAGTGCCTGTATTTCTTCTTGGTTTTTTTTAGCTTTAGCAAATCCCCCAAATGATCTGTTAAGAACAGAAACATACATATTTTGAAAAAGCAGGACCTAGACCAACCATACAAAGTCAAAATTCAAAATCAGTGTTAATGAAATATTTTTCCCAGCATTTAAGCGTTGGTTTATGTTATTCCTGTCCTTTGTTTAATTTTCTCACAAAGGGAATCCATCCATATATTATAAAAGCAACAAACGAATATACCCCCGTGATGTTTTCATATGAGCATGGAATGCTGAACAAACAAAAATTATCTCTGAATACAACAAACAATGAAATTCATGGATTAAAACAATAACGTGGGCCAATCCCAAAGACTGTTTTAAGAGAAAGAAGAAATGAGAAGGTACAAATGTAGCTTCCTGTAATGGCATATATAAAATAACTTTCACAGAATACAAATTTCACCCATTACAATACAGGTAGTTCTCGAGTTATGAGTGTAATGGAGCCTGCCCATTACTCACTGCCTTGCTCGTTAAGACTAACATGAAGTATCTCAGAGTGGAGAAGGCCTAGTGATGGAATAGGCCCCAAAGGTCTTCCTGACCCACTAAGATACCTCATGCTTCCCCCTCTCTTCCTGCTGCGCCATATTCACCTGGAAAAGATCCATCTCCTTTCTGCCGCAGTTCCTGCTGCCGCCCAGATCTGAGGCTGGGGGATGTTTCCGCGGCCCTCCGGTAGCCTGATCCAGGCACAAAAAGCCTTTTCTAGGCCACTGACAACTGGATCTGAGGCCGCGGGACTTGCTCATAAAAACTAGGGGACACTTATGACATAATTTCAAACGAGTGTTAAGTGAACGCTCGTAACTCTAGGATTACCTGTACTGTTTCCATCCCCTGGTTTCTTTTTAGGTTTATTATTTGTAGAACTGCTAGATCTTAAGCAAAGTTGCTCAGAAATTGAAAAACTATATATTTATAATTACTAAAGCATCTGAGAACTTCTGAAAACTTTTGATTTTAGCAGGCTTTTTTTTTTAATCCTAGAATATTTTAAAGTATAAACAACATATTTTATCCACCACAAAGTGGCAGACAACAATTATTAACAATGTTAAATAGCTTTTGGCCCAGATATATTCCATTACGACCAATTAGCTGTTGTATGCAAGAGTTATCTTTCATCCCAACTGATAAAACATTATCATACTAAGATTACTAGAAAGGGGCGGGGACCTTTCTCTCACACATCCCAACTGGCTAGTTAATATGCAGCAGGTAGTAATATATATTTTAAACAGGGACTGTGTTACCTATATAAAATACCCCCTTGCCTTTTTAGTCCAAGAAACTAGAGAGGGTCCCTTCTGAGAGGTCAATATTTACCTGACAAAGACTGTAATTGCTGGCTTGGTTTCGATGAAGACATCTGCTTCTGAAGGCTTGGGTGGGTTTGCCTGGTACTGAGTTGGCAAATAAAAGGCAACTGTTGTGATGGACTCGGAGAACGGGCCAGTTCCTGGCTGGACATAGCATGTCACTGGAGCTGTCATAGCTATCTTTGTTCCTGCAAAAGGCAGGAAGAATCACGTCACTAGCTCCACCAAGAAGCAAACTAAACATGCTGCTAAACTTTAAGGAATGAGTCTTTAAACTAGGATGCTAAAATCCTGAAATCTCTCATACATTAAATAATAGTATCAGCCAGAAATAATGATTAAACATCTAGCTCAGTGATGGCGAACCTTTTAGAGACCGAGTACCCAAAAACTGGCTCCGCTCCCACTCTACCCCCCTGCCCCGCCCCCACCCTCCCTGCCTGCAGGGCCACTCACCACCTACAGGGCCTGCCACAGATCTCCCAGACAGCTCAGCAGCACCATTGCGGCCATGCCCTCTGCTCGCGCCTCGCAGCATCAACTGTGCGCGATGGGGTGTGAGGGCAGAGTCTTGTCTACGCTGCCTGGTTGCCATGTCCTTGGCTGCGCTGCTCCATGTGGGCCACGCTCGGGGCAACTCTCCTCCAGGGGGGCTGCTGGTGAGGAGGGGGTCACGGGAGGAGGCAAGGCTGGGGCAATGGCACGTGTGCCTACAGAGAGGGCTCCAAGTGCTGCCTCTGACACGCGTGCCATAGGTTCGCCACCACTGATCTAGCTCAATATTAACTGCACACAAAATAAATATAATCAAATGACTAACTCAGTCAAAACAAAATATATCTACTATGCTTTCTGGGCAGAAAACCTACAAATGAGGTAACTTTAGAAATATTTAAAAATGCACCTGACTACTACAGAGGAAAAAGTAGTTCCAATGCAATCATTAAACGTTTTTTGCAATTTTAAACAAAAATTTAGAGGATTGAGGCAATTTAACCACACAACCTTTGGTAAAATGAATGTCCTCAGAATGATTACTTTTCTAACAACTTTAAGAACTTACTTATTCTTTATCCATGTTTGGAAATGTCTATTAAAATATTTGTATGCGCCTTTAGCCAAAAAAATAAAGAACAACTTCCAATAAAAGCTTTTAGAATATGCATGTAAGATATTGAGAAAGGCAACACATTTTGGGAAATGATGAAATATGTCTGTGTGGCATGGTTTTTTTTTCCACATGAAAAAAGAACAATTTCAAGAAAATAGCTTGCACGTTGGTGCCCAAAGCCTCTGTATATTACCTTTTTCATTCTTGCCTTTAATATAGTTAAAGAGCTTCATGAAGCCAGCATTGATGGCTGCATCCCAGTCTATGGTTTTAAGAGATGTACACACCCATTTGGCAGGTTCATACTGTCGAATTTCATAATCAGATGCCTTTAAAAAAAAGTCCAGGTCACAGATCATGACACTATTACTAAATAATTTGCATACTATAAACTCAGAAGGAATTCATTAAATAAAACATTAATTAAACTAAGGTTTGCTAAGAGTTACAATGTTTACTGAGTTAGTTTAGGATAGGGCAGACCCACATTTAACCATAAAGCTCATTCAATAACTAGACTTTCTTGCCTTTTTTTTCTCTTTGAATACGTTTTGCTTCTCATCCAAGAAACATTTTCAGTTCTTCTTGGAATTTCGGCATCTTCTTGTATGAGAAGCAAAATATATTCAGTTGCCTTTTGAAAAATATCTTTGGGACAACCCTGACCTGGATGATTGAGAATCTCCATAGGCATTCATTCAGTAACTCTAAGTCAGCCATACCTGAATCACCCTGTGTTGTGAGAATAGATGGGTGGGTTAGAGCTCATTGGAAGAAAAGTGGGATGTAACATAGTAAATAAACAGTAAATGAATAAAGGACAGAACACCTTCGAACAGGAGTGTCTATGGAGGGTCTCAGTCATCCAGGTCATAGTTATCCCAAAGGTGCTTTTTTCACAAGGCAACTGGACTTTGTTTTTTTTTCTTTGAAGACATTTCGATTCTCATCCAAGAAGCTTCTTCAGCTCTGACTGGATGGTGGGGAATGGAAGGATTTATACTCCTTGCAGACAACTGGTCATTTGCATTCTTTTAGAGAGTCGTTGAAGCCACCTAGAGGTTTATCTGTGTCTTCGGTTTGTGTTTCAGCGTTTTATCCTTTCCCATCTTACAGAAAACTCACACGCGCGGATCAATATTTACATGTTGATTCTCACCACCCACTGAAGCACAAAATGGGAGTTATCAGAACCCTACACCTCAGAACTGAAAATCTATCTACCAGCAAAGATTGGAAAGAAAAAGAACTAAAACACACCAAGGAAGCCCTCAGAAAGTCCAGTTGCCTTCTGAAAAAGCACCTTTGGGACTTCAAACAAGAGGCATTGTACTAACAGAAGGACTATTTAAAACGCATTTTCCAATTTTATTTCAAAAATGCTTCCTACTGCCATCCTGCAATCTGATCTTATAGCACACTTTTGCTCACAAAACAGCTCCATTAGTATTATAGCTGTGCACACCTCACAAAGAATTTTTAAAAAGTGCTTGACGTATGCTGTGAGCACATGCACAGCACTTCTCTGTAGTTATTAAAACAGCCTAAGTTTTTCCAGGCTTCTGCCCAAGGCTGAAAAAGAACTGGTTCAAGGAATTCTTAAAGCCTCATGGCACTGGCTCTACACAGAAAAACATGCTGTTTTCATAAGTCAGAAATATTAGGCTCACGCAACGTCTTAGAGCATTTCTTTTCAAGCTTGTGAATGACCCTACTGGAGAATATACACAGATGCATTTAATATTGTGATAGTTTAAAAATTAGAAGTAGCCACAAAAGGTTGCGATTCAAGCAAAGAAATAAGGATGAGCTTCTTATCTCCCTCCACTCTTAAGTCATTTCCTCAGTCAAATTGCCATCTATCTGCAATACACGCTTCAAAGAAAAAAAGACATTTTTCTGTATGGTAGAAATGTTTAGAAAAAGTATTTTGAGTGGCAAAAAATTGCTACAGAAGAAAGTGTTAAAGATAGTAAGATAGAAAAGATCTATCCTCTTTCATCCCAGAGTCAAATGTCTGGTTTTTATTTCAAAGAGAGGGGAAAAATGGACTATTCATAGATTTGCTCTCTACTTTGGTGGTAATTCCAAGTAACATTCACAAAGTTGAAACACCTTTCAAACATGTTTAGGCCATAATTCCCAGAACTTGCAGCTACCTGTGCTGCAATTCTGGGTTTTGGCCTCCATATACCTGACAGGTGTCAGGTTGGGATAGGCTAATCTCCTGACAGATATCAAAAAAGAGTAGCAATAATCCTTGGTTTATGGCTATTTGTCCAGTTGACTATTCAAAGTTATGGGACTGCTAGAAAAAAATTAGAATGTACATATGGTCCTTGACTTAAAATAATAACTGAAACCAGAATATTGCTTTTGGGGCAAAGTGGTTGTTAATTCATTATTTTTTAATTTTTCAGTATTAATTTGATTCAAGTTGAATAGGCAAAATTAATTTAATTAATCACAAGTTGATGAAACTAGCAGTTAAATTATTTTACTTCAACATTCAGTTAAAGCATTGCCCTTCCCTTTCTATGAGACTAACAGGCTGGCCTTCAGCGCCCAGAATAGGGCAGAACAAGCACACAGCTTGCACACAACACTTTGCTCCACCTGCTCATGCATCATATGAACAGATCAAGATAGTTGCACTTTTATTGCCATCTCAAGTACAGACCTGGGCTGGCTATGTCTGTTTGTCATCTCAGTCACAAGGATTCTTTTTCAGGAACATGGTCAATCTTTCTTTGCAAGAAAGTGACTTTATGTATTTATTTATTACATTTATACACCACCCATCTCACTAGTGAGGTGTCCTACATGAGGAGACAGCATAGACAATATGCAAGGACAGCTGCTGCCCAAGTCCACATTCAAGATGCAAAGTAATTGGGTAACCTAGACAATATGGCCAATAAGAGTTTATTTGGAATATCCTAGAGTTTCCTATCTAAGGAGACCACCTTGTATTATTTAATTAGAGGGCTGTTCTCAAGGAGGATCTAACTTATGCAATGCATACTAAAGACAGGAGGGCAGCAGTATAGGATGTGAAATATGACGGGGGGGGGAAGGGAGCCCCCAAAAAATAGAAACAATGATTACATAAACAAAGAAACTTTCATTCTGGCAAACAATAAAAGTGTGTGAGAGAAGCTCAGGTTGACTCCTTCCTAATTCTGCCTCCTGACCTGACCTAATTCCAAGGGTTGACAAGGAGTGGGGGCCATATGAAATTAAGTTGGAAATTCACAGTCCCTTTAATATTGTTTTTCTGGGATATTCACATCTACAATAGCACACATCTACTGACGACATGCAAAGTTAGCACCAGTGATGCAGATTTTATGGCATGGCTACATTGAACTAGAGGCCATTGTGCTAGAAAACTCTTTTTATTGTTTAACTGTATTTTATTATTATAAAACCTAAGTAGTACATTGTATTATTTAAGCACAATAGTGTGCATACAGTATTGAATAGAAATTATTAACACTCTAATATTTAGATAATTTAAACTTTTAAAAATATTTATAACAATATTAACTGTAATTCCTAAAATGTCAGTCATAAGGTTATTTAACATTTACATCCAAAGGCAAAAGTGTCATTAACAAACAACTGCAACATATACAAAACTATTTGTTATACAGTAAAGGTTTCCATTTAAGCTTAATATTTAATACTAAGATCTCCACTGTATTATTATTGTTTGCAAAAGAAAAAAGAAAAACAGACAAAATAACAAAAAGTAAAACAAAAACAGCTATCTGGTTTCCAACTTCCCCCTTTTAGTGCCCCCCACCAATTTACAATGTTTATATGTATTTAGCCCCCCCAGTAGCATGTCCGGAAACTCCTACCATCTAATGTTCCAAACCACACATTATGGATTTAGCCCCTACAATCTCTTTGGTTTAATTTGGGCTGGATCCTTTGTGGTCTGTAAGTCTCTGAAGACTATTTGGAAAATCAGTTCCATTACTTCTTGAATGAGGCTAATCCTAGGCTGGAAATGAAAAGATAAGTCACCTGATTTGGCAATGCAGTCCATTTAGGCATCTCCAAGCCAGAAGAAAAAAGGGCTTGTTTTATAGTCTTCAACATCCTATATAAACACAAGGAATAAAATTATAGGAGTTCTTCTATATTCTGGATTAGACTTGTTAAGTTCATAAAGCTTTTGAAAGAAGATCTGCAAAGGATTCTAGCTTGTAGGTCTTTAACAACTACAATATAGTTGTTGTATTTTTATTTTATTCTTATCTCTTCAACTTCTTAAGTTGAAGAGAGGAAGAAAAGCTATGATGGCTAAGGAACAAGGAAAAGAATTGAGTAGCAAGATTGGAAGCAGATATATTTGCAGAAATGGTTAAATTGACTTGTTTGATTAAGGAGCAGTTATTTTTATAAAAGACTGGAAACCCTTATGGTTATCTTGCTGAAAATGGATAAAAATGAACTGGTGATTTGGGAATTTGATTAAAATGGATTGTTTTAAGAGAAAAAGGAGACCATAATATGTAGTATGGATGTGATCAGATGGAAATTGGTGTTTTTAACAGCTGCAAATAAGATCAGAAATCGCCTCTTTATATATATTTTCTTTTCCTTTTGTTATCTTTCCCCTTATTTTTACCTTTTCTTTTTGTACTTTTTCTTTCTAGAGTTTTTAAGCCTATGTAAAATTCTACAATAAAAATAATCATCACTTTAAAAAGAAGACTGTAAACACAAAAATGGCCTGAAAACAACTTCCTGGATAGAAGTTTGCTCCTGTTCTTTTAACTGGGCTTGTAGTGTCCTCCACAGCGCGCGCGCGCGCGCACACACACAAACACACACACACACACCCGTTGATTAATTTGATAGACCCCCTCAAGACTGAAGTCCCACTCCTAAATAAGCATTCACCATTCCTTAAGTAGATAAACTTTGCATTCCTCCCTGAAGCACTTCTGCCTTGCATGGCTTCAGAATGCCCCCTCCCCATTCAACCGGTATACCTTTTATTCTGCAGGCCACCGAGCAGCGGGGCAAAACCGCCTCCTTTTCCATTTCTCGCGCCCCTCTATTCAAAGAAGAAAAGTCCCAATCCAGGAACTCTCACACCTACATCGCGTCCTGCCTGCTTCGCTCCGCTCATTCAGCCAAAGGCTAACCTGACCCCGTTCAGATTTTGAAGAGTTCAATTGGGACAGCACGACCCAGGGGAAAGGTCTATGGGAAGTGTAGTACAAAATATGGGACGGGGGGGGGGGAAGGGAGGCAGACCAAAATGCCTACTCCTTCCTTTCGGCCAAACTCACCTTTCGGTTAGCCTCTTCTCTGGTTCCCAAGCAAGAACTTTACAAAGGGCACCCGAGTTTGGGAGCATAACATTTCTAGCTGGCAGAGTTGTGGGGCGGGGCTTGCCCGGTTTAGGATAGAGAGAATAATTATTCTCCTCCGCCCCCGCTCGCCCCCCCCCGCTCCCGAAAATCGCACAAAGAATCTGCTGGTCACTGCGGGGAGGGGGGGGGAATACGGAGAATTTGGTTTTCTGATTGGTTGCGAGTGGGCGGCATTTACGCCCATGGGGGGATTTTAAGGGAGCCTCGGCCTGCTGTTTTGCTGGACTGCGAAAGGGGCGGGGAAAAAAGCTTCTGGTTTTGGTGGCGCTTGGTGTGGGATGTCGCTTGTTGTGGTGGCACGGTCTCTCGGGGAAAGAAGGAGTGAGCTCATGGCCTCCTGTCAGATGCCCAAAGAAGGGGGGAGGAGGAGGAGAGGGAGAGATGAAAAGGGCCCTTTGAAGCAGAAGGCACGAGTGTTCCTCTCGCCAGCTCGCTCCCACAGCGCTGCGTTTCTTTCCGCTGAAGGAATGCTCGCATTTCGGCGGGGGCGTTGGCTGCTCCCGAGTGCGGGGCTGCCTCGGGCCAAGGGCTTTTCGCGCGCTCGAGGATTGCGGAGAAAACTTTTGGCGCTCGAAGTTTGCGCCCTTGCCTCGTTGAAGCACAAACTGGACGTTGACTTCACAATCCCACACTCCTTTTGAACTGCGGGGAGGAACGCGCTTGGCACTTTGCAGGGCAAAGCCAAGGAGCGAGCGAGGTTTACTTGTTAGGGTTTGGCTAGTCCAGGGGCTTCCAACCTTTTCTATACCCGCACTCCTAAGAACGCTTCTGATATATTCTCGCACCCTTAACAAAAGTTCGAAATAACGGCAACGAATTATGCATATACACTATAATTTTGAAAACCCAAGTTTTCGCAACCCCTGGAATATTGTCTCGCACCCCCAAAGGGTGCGAGCAACCCCTTTTGGAAACCCCTGGATTAGAGGGTCCTCTAATGAAAACTTGCTGAGGGTTACAAGACTTCCTTTTTGTTTTTGTAAGAATGCCAAACTCTTCTTGTGTAATTTGGGATAGGCAATTCACGAAATTTCAGGGTAAGAACAGTGAACTTCGGCAAGGTTTCAGAATAAGTGCATAAATTTGAGACCTTTGGATGTACATGGAAAAAAAAATAACCTTTGAATCATTGTGCAAAATATCTCACACGAAAAGACTGCTGACTGCAGATTGTTGTACATTCTTCCACACATTTCACTTGCACAACAGTTCATTGTTAGAACCGCCAGGAATAATAATAATAACAATAACAATAGACCTTGGAGGTCTTCTAGTCCAACCTCCTGCTCAGGATAATATATTATGTTGCAACTTTAAATTGCTTCTGCATAAATCAATATAAAAATAAAAGTTTCTTATCTGTACAAATCCATCCTCTCAAATGTCACAAGTGTGATTAAACTCTCAAGTGGGATTAGTAATATCCTGGTCTTTTTAGGTATCCTAGCAAAGTACCATTTAGGACAGTGGTTCTCAACCTTTTTAATGCCGCGACCCCCAACCGGTCGTAAGTCGAGGACTACTCAACTGGTCGTAAGTCGAGGACTACTCAACTGGTGCAGCACCGTTTGCAGAATGGGACTTTTGGCGGGCTCAGCAGGGCAGAGACAGCCTGGACAATTCCTATTGGCTTTTGAAAGCCAATAGAATTAGACTCTATTCAAGAGAGTCTATTCTATTGGCTTTCAAAAGCCAATAGAATAAAAGGGAGTAGCACAGCCAAGGAAAAGGGGAAAAAATGGCGGACTGCGTTGTTTGGCGACCCCCATGAAATGGTCGTTCGACCCCAAATGGGGTCCCGACCCACAGGTTGAGAACCACTGATTTAGGAAGTACTGTTGAGCATATTAGAATAGAAGGATTATCATATCCCTAGTTCTCAGGCTTAACTATGTCTCAAATACTATATTTTTACTGTGCATAGCAATATATACATTTGTTAGACCTTATCTAACATTTGTTAGACCTTATCTAACATCCTGAGGCTTCCTTATAATTTCCTGTTCTTTGAACCTCTCCTGAGCTTGGAAATATTTGCCTTTGAACAAGTTTCTAATGGTTTTAATGTATTTTCAAACTACTTAATTTTAATTTGATTTTATGGACTTATCCTTTTTATTGTGAATTGCCAAGAGATCTTGATAGTCATTAATATATAAAGAATGGATGGGATAGAAAGTAAACTTTTATTAGGCTAAGAAAGTAGAGACACTCTGAATATTGGTTTGCAATATTTATTATGTTGATGCATAATCTGTCCAACTAGAAAAGCATTGTTAGTCAAGTGACTTGAATTTAAAGAATATTGGCCTGTTAAATTCCAGCTTGTTTCTTAACAACTTCTACTAAAAATAAATAAGCAATAGAGCTATAGTATCAGTATTAGAGAGGTTATACTGATGCAATTATTTAATTTAAAAAATGTAGAATGCTAGCTCAACATAATGATGTTAATTCATTCCTTAGTGTAGATTGCATTGATTTGTCCTGAAATGTTTATCTGGATGACAACAGGCAATTGGTGTTTTTTTGAAATAACTGATTTTTTGAAATAAATATGAGTAAAGCATCCACATCAATTACAGTAGCTATTTATTTACTTACTTATTTGATTTGTATGCTGCACATCTCACCTATAGGCAATTCTAATTTACCAAGAAATTATTTGTTTCTGTTTTTACTAACATGTCTATATAAAATGATAGTTATCAGATAAGAGTAAGTTTGTGTCTATTGATGGATATTACTTAAAGCATTACTTTGCCTGTTGACTTATGAAAACTATGCAATTACATATTCATATAGATATGTTATTGATTAAAATAGTTGTGATAATTGTTCTAAATTTTCTCCCTTAGGTTCATATCTAAAACTATGATGTTGAAATACAGCTAAAAATTCAATGTTTATTTTAAAATCTTTATATAGTCACTGCTGTTTTACCAAGCTCCCAATCAAGAATTAAAGAATATTATAATAAAACAACAAAAAATTATATTAAAACTCTTAAAACCATAAACATCAAAACAAAACAAAACAAAAACCTTGCCCCAGATTAAGCTTCTGGCATACAGTCACCTCATCCTATAACCAGCACTTGGGGGGCAAAGTCAAATCTTCAGTCCCTTTTAGAAGGCTGGGAGGATAGCGGTCTGCTATACCTCAGAGGGAAGAATGTTCCAGAGGGGCAAGGGAGAAGGCACATATCCTATAACTCGCAGGGATTCTCAATCTTGGCAACTTTAAGACTTGTGGACTTCAACTCCCAGAATTCCTCAGCCAGCAAAGCTGAGGAATTCTGGGAGTTGAAGTCTACAAGTCTTAAAGTTGCCAAGGTTGAGAACCCCTGCAAGGAGACAGTGTATAAAGAAAGACATGAAGAGTATGCCTACCCTATCTAGTCAGATAGAACAGGTAGATGTCCTTATGGAAAGGTTGTTCTCGCAAATAGATCATAGGGATGATAGATAGATAGGTAGGTAGGTACGTAGGTAGATAGATAGATAGATAGATAGATAGATAGATAGATAGATAGATAATACTGATTTATAGTGACATAAATGTAATCTACCTGAAAAGCAAAATAAATAAATAAATAAATTTAAATACTTTATTTTTAACATAGCCATATTTAACTTTATATCCAGAATTAAAAGATTACTGGAGTTTTATTTAAAAGTAGAAAAATCGTGAAATTGTTCTATACACAGTGCAGAAGATTACCGCATTAGTGTATTAAGTATCTTATTGTGCCTTCCAATAATTAAATCTCCAAATGTTCCACTTTTCTTAAACACTCAAAAAACCGCACGTTTATTGTGTGTGCCATTCAGAGACCTTCAGATACATTTCAAAAGTAATGTATAATCTGTAGTATTTTGATATGTAAACTTGTTATTTGTTGAACTCATAAAATGTCTAAGAAATATTACTGCATTACAAACGTTAAAGCCCTTTCAATTATGTATATATGTAATTCAAGTCTAGTTGCTTTCCAACACAGCTGTTGCAATCCAACTCACTTCAGATTCGCCTTCTAAAACATCTGTATGTCATTTACTCCAGGAATTTCCTAGACATAGTGTTAAGTTTAATCTTTCCTTCATCCAATACAGTTGGCTGGTGAGCTGTTTCAATATATATTCCATTTTAAATTGATACTGTTACCATTTTAAATTAATCCTTTGAAGCTCCATTGTGCTTGTACAGATTGCCTTGCTCTTAGTTCTTCTTACTTTGTTTTCAGAAGTCATTATAGACTGGAGACCCTGACTAAAAAGAATTCTGTGTGCTTATTGTTGTTTGGTCTCTTCATAAGGAGGCAAAGGCTCCTGAAATCGCTGAACATGGTCCTCTTCCATGGATGCCTTCATGGTGGCCTCCTCATATGATGGAGGCAGGCACACAGTGAGAAAGGCAGTTTCAGGCAGGAGAGTGGAGTATTGGAACCTCTGCTCATTGTTCCAGGGTAGCACAGAGAGAAAATCTGTCACCTCATGCTCCGGAAGGGATTCTGGCAGGTCAATGCTGAAGATCTGAGCCTGAGGATTGTGACGTTGGCAACGTCTATAAAGGAAGAGCAACAGGAATGCCAGGAAGAGCATCACGGTAGCTGGTAATATGATGCATAGGAATGGCTCTATGTCTTCTTTGGTCGAACTTGCTTTATGCTGACTCTAGGAGAAACCAAGACAAGAATGTGTATCAGGCCTTAGCCAATTTCATTTTATGTGAATCCTGCCTTTCATAAAAACATCGTCTCAAGGCAGTAAACAGTAATGTCAAAAAAGCCCAAACCCATTGAAATAAGCAAATTAATCAAGTATAAACACAGATATAATAGAATGTGTTGTTTTGCAGAGTATGCACAACTGAGCAGTTATACTGCCCAATGAGTTCTCCAAGCAGGCTCTCACTTGCCCTTAGAAAAATGCCTCCACCTAAGGCAGTGGTTCTCAACCTGTGGGTTGGGACCCCATTTGGGGTCGAACGACCATTTCACAGGGGTCGCCAAACAATGCAGTCTGCCATTTTTTTCCCCTTTTCCTTAGCTGTGCTACTCCCTTTTATTCTATTGGCTTTTGAAAGCCAATAGAATAGACTCTCTTGAATAGAGTCTAATTCTATTGGCTTTCAAAAGCCAATAGGAATTGTCCAGGCTGTCTCTGCCCTGCTGAGCCCACCAAAAGTCCCATTCTGCAAACGGTGCTGCACCAGTTGAGTAGTCCTCGACTTACAACCAGTTGGGGGTCGTGGCATTAAAAAGGTTGAGAACCACTGACCTAAGGGCTAATCCATCTCTCTTCTTCAAGCCTCTGAGACATAGGCTGGCATTTGCTATTATACCCTATCACTCAGGAAAACTTTATTATGGACTGTCAGAGGTGATTTGGAAATAGCAATTGCAAAGACTCTGTAGCCTCCTTTTCTATGCCGATAATTACCTCCATCAAACCTCAAAACGATTGATTGTATCTAATGTTTGCTCCTGCCAATAGGAACAATCCTTGAAGGAGTTCTTTTAATTACATCTCAGAAACTGGGAGGGGAAGTGTCCTACAGCACCACCTCTTAACCCATTTTAGAGCATCCTTTAACACCTGTAGCAGCATTTCTAGAGTTCCAGGTGTTAAAATGCCCTCTTTGCCCTTATCCCATTTAAAAAGCGCCACTGAAACAGAAATCTTTTCCAGAGGGAAGGAAATAAGGATCCAGATCAGTATGTTTATCTCTCTTATATTGCCTCTACTGCTATCCGTTAGATAGCAACTGTTTTCCTACTCTTCTATGGTTAACAGAGGGCTGATTTAACAAATCAGTGACTGGGATTTTTTTTTAAAAAAAAAACAACCTGATGGCTTGTGCCCTTTCCCAAAGGAAGTATGCTTTTGGCAAACTACTTGGCTCTTCTCCAGTATGATTTCACTAGTAATTATGCAGTGGATAGGTGGAGCGGCAACTATAGGATGCTCTGAAGTGCACACATGGATGCAACTGGTGCATTGCACACCCATGTTTTAATTAAACAAATTGGTTAAGAGGTTAAAGTGATCAAGTCTCAGCATTACATTCCAGTCTCTCCTGCCATCCTAGAGCTGATTTTGACCTTAGAGTTAGCAATGGTATAAAGTATGAAGAAGAACACAACTGACACTTTCCAAATCTATTTAAAACGTTGAGTGAATCATATAAACATTATCTTGCAACTTAATTTATCCTCATCCCTGCACTTATCTAACCATGCTAGAAGTAACTGTAATCAGGGTTTTTTCCCCTTATCATTCTACATTCCCCCCCCCCCATTTAAGTACCCTCTTAAACTTTGATAAGGGTAAATAGATAAGATATGTATCCTGAACATCAGATGTTTTGGGGAATTGTGACAAAGGGAATTGGGGCCACTTAAAACTAAATGATAAATACTAAACGTTAAACTTAAATATTAATGGAAAATTAAAACTGGGAAAATTTATTAGGTTATTGATGGTCTAAAACAGCGGTTCTCAACCTATGGGTCGCGACCCCATTTGGGGTCGATCGACCTCTTTTGTGGGGTCGCCAAACGCGGCGATCCGCCATTTTGTCGCCTCCGGGGGCGCGGCGTGCCTCCGGGGGCGGCGCCACGCATGCGCGCCGCGCGTGGGGCGGCGGCGTGCCTCTGGGGTGCGGCGCCGCGCATGCGTGCCGCGCATGGGGGCGGCGCTGTGCCTCCGGGGGACGCCGCCGCGCATGCGCGCTGCGCGTGCGGGCGGCGCCGCGCGTGCGCGCCGTGTGCAGGGGCCCGCCCCATGCGTACCGTGCGGGGGGGCACCGCGCATGCGCGCCACGCACAGGGCCCCACCCCCATGCGCGCCACGCCGCGCATGCGCATAACGTTTGTGTGACGGGGTCGCCGTCACACAAACGTTGAGAACCGCTGGTCTAAAAGATGGAATATTAAAACAATTAAGATATACATAAGCTAAAAATATTGATAAATGTAAGAAAGCTATTTTGTATCTGATCGATAGAATAAGAAGTATGCTAATAAGAGACAGTACATATTAAAGGAAAAAGAGAGGAAATATTGGCTGAATAGTTGGAGACTTGTATTAATAATATCTATATGTAATTGAATCATTGTAGCTTAGCTGCCACGTTGTTTTTCAAAGATATAATGGTAATATTAGAAAATAAATAAAAAGTTTAATAATAAAAAAAGGTAAATAGATTTTAAAAAACCAGACAGGATAGATGATGAATAAGCAGCTATTAATTTTGCTGCCAAATAAATCACAGTTTTTGCTATTTATACACTATTATTTTGGTAGGGTGTTTAAATTACTTTAAGAGATATCCTTTAGCATTCATTTCTTTTAAATTTATCTACCTGTCCTACTTTAAGAAATTTATGCTAACAGCCAAAGGATTTTTTTTTTGTTAAATGATCATTTAAGCGGGATAAAAATATTTCTGCTTGTGTAAGGCATACATGGAAATGGGAATTCTTCTGGATGGAATTGTGAAACTTAATTGAATGGAATAGGACACCACAATTTTGAGAATACAAGCTGACACCTATTGTTACATTTTGTGTTATCAAAACAATCTAACAATTAAAAAAGCAATAGTTGCCTTAATAGATTTGTTAAGGATGTATATATTATTGTTATTTTTTTCATCTTGTTTTTGTTAAGTTTTTATAATTCTGCATGGAATGCATACGTAGATTTAATCTTATTTCAAACAATTGCAAAAAAATAGGGCCCATGGTTTCATTCTGACTATTGTACTTGTATTAAAACATAAAGGAATTATTGTAAATGATGTACATAAGCATATCAGTTTCATGATAAAACTATGTCAGATAGCAAATCATGATTTTTAGTCATAGACATTGGGGGCAAATGACAACACAAACTCAGTCTATTTTACACTTGCATTAAAACACTGGGCATCCACAAAGACATAAAGACATAGAGAAGTATCATTTTGACTGTTCATTTATTAATATGGTATGTATATGTTTATATGTATGTTATAGTATATGTTAGTGATATATGTTGCCTATACTAATAGATATTTTCTGTGGTGTGAATTCTCTGTAGTTTTTCTGTGTTGAGCTTTGAACTAGAGCTTCACAATAAATCATAGTTCTTCAAACACTTAACCCTTTATTTAGCACTTGGCTTGATTTGATAGAAGACTTTCAGACATATTAGAATCTTTATTGCTTATAAGAATAAAGTAACACATGCATTTGCCCATTGTCATGTGCAGATGTCAGAGCTTTTTATATATATTTGTGTTCCATAGTTTAAATTCCAGACATTTTCTTTCCACTGGTCTGAGTTAATGGATACTTGGCCAATCTTTAGATGTTCTTCAGAAACATCTGAAATGTGAATATATATCATTTCTCTTTAGCATGAAAATGTATAATTCTCATGTCAGCATTTTTCACTGTTTGTATTAGAAGTGTATCATGTAAACAAGACCCCAGCTTATTGTAATATTCAGCTGGGACATTATTTAAATGGAGAAATTGTCACTAGGAAAGAAAGGGGAAATTAAAAATTTATGTTGTTCTTTAATTATATATTCAATACATATTTAATGGTATATAATATGGTAGAAAGGATTATGGTGAATATCAAATATTGCAGCACTACCATTAAAATAAATACTTTGTGAAGGAAAAGTAAACTGCAAACCTTTTATGTTTAATTCTATTTTACTACCACTTGAAGCCTAATGGTATAAGGTAAATAGGATGTATTCCAAATTATACTTAAGTGTATCTTGCATACTCTGATTTTTATATCTCATGAGGGAATGGATAGGTTAATCAATATTTCCAAATGCAATAGCAATGATATCATTTGTTGCAGGTTTTTAGTATGAATCATCAGTTGACTTTAAGTATTCAGTGCTTTGAATACAATACAAAATGTGTATTGTAGATAGTTTGTCTATTTAAAACATTGATATTATTTTGGAGTTTTAATCTGGAGACTTGAAGGCAGTTTGAAAGAATGATTAAACTATAGAGTGTGTACTTTTATTCTATTTGAATACTTTGGTAAACCAATTTTGCAAAATGTCTCTAATGGTTTAATCAATCCACAAAACAGCATCTCTTCCAAATACATTCTGTTAAAATGTATGACTGATTTATCCCGAGTCTTCTTGTATGGAACAAACATTACCCTTTTACAGTGCTCTTTATTTACACCTGGCCGTACTGTCTGTCTTATATATTTTGGTTGAGAAAACATAGAAAAAGAAAACAGATATGACTAATAATATTTTTTACAAAAATATATAGAATTGCTTGATTCATTAATAAATAGGCACAAGAAAAACTTGTTGATTCTAACATTTCCCTAGCCAGGCTTTCAAAAATAATCAATGAGTATAATACACGTTTATAGCCAAACTTACAAATTCATCACTGCAGAGCAGGGTTTAACAGAATAACAGAATTACTGAGTTGGAAGGTCCTTTGGAGGTCTTCTAGTCCAACCCCCTGCTCAAGGAGGAGACCCTGTACCATTTCACACAAATGGTTATCCAATATCTTCTTAGTAATCTTAGTAATCTCCAGCACCCACAGTTTCTGAAGGCAAGTAATTCCACTGTTCTCACTGTTAGAAAATTTCTTCTTAGTTCTAGGTTGCTTCTCTCTTCAGTGTTTTCCTATGCACTTTTGTGAACATATGAGTGTACTTTTGAATTTTAAACAAAGGCAGAGAAAAAGCAAAAAATAAAATAAAAATCTGGTTGATTACTGAGAATGGAATTTGGCTTATTGTGGTAATGATGTAGAAATAAGCTATTTTAATCAAGAACAGAAAAAATGTGTACATGGAATGATATTTAAATATACTGTGTGTAGATGTGAATCACCATATAGAGATTCAAAGCATGTTGACTCTAACATTAAATAGTGTTCTGAAGATGTAAATGAGTAATCACTAATTTTTCATCACAGACCAAACACATTCAGTATTAACTTCAACACTACTTTTTTTTTTAGTATGGTAATAGTTTAAACATTCAGAAGAATGAACTCACATTTTAGACATTATCAATGAAAAAATATGCATTGTGAACAATTCTATGAAATCATGCATATGTGAAGAATTACATTTATGCTTACAATAGCTGACATCAACACAAAAAACACCATTGCAATCATTTACTGTCATATTACTATTATTCTTCTGGTCTTATTGCAATAAGTTATTCTGTCTAACCAGGAAACTTAGAAATATTTAGAAGGAATAAATTCCATTCAATATTCCACTAAATTCAGTGGGACTTACTTCAGAGTAAACATGCAGAGAATTACATTACTAGCCTGCTATTAGTTTTTTATTTTTGACCCAGTGCAGTTAGGCTATTTTTTAAAGAAGCAGACTAAATTACTTTACAAGTTACTGTAAAAAATACTGAGAAAAATAATTTGACCCTCAAAATCTCTTTTAGATTGTCTTGTCAGGGTAGTCTTTCTGATCTATCTCTCACGCCTTCCCCTTTTGCCACTCATAACACTATGAAAAGTAATATAATCCAGGAAACAAAATTTGCTGAATTATCACTTATTCTAATATCACTAAAAGGGTCTGCCGAAAGAAAGATTGAGAATGAAATAGGATTGAAATAAAATGACAGATTCAAAAGCAGCCAAAATATCCATTTGATGTTAAGTTTTGAGGTAAATATTTATATCAGTTTCTGCAAACTTTTTTTCCCTGGGTTGGTGAAACAAAGGAACTATTGCATGGAGGACAGCATGCAATTTATGTAAAATAAAGCATTTGCACAAACCCTTTGTCATCCTGAAACAAGACATCTTGAAAGAACAGAAGTAAATTCAAAGAATATAAAGAGAAGAGAAGATACGAACCTGTAGCTCTGTTTCCACCAATGGCATACCTGGTTCACTGGTTAACCAGTCATAGTTTCCCCTGTCAGCGTGTCCAAATTTCTTCCAGCTACCACTGTCCAGAAGCCAACGCATACTTTCATGGATGTATGGGTTTGTTCTTTGTTCTTCCTCTTCAATTGTGGTCTTCTTTTTGATTATTTTTAATGCCGTCACTTCCCTCTTTCTTTCTTTTTCCTGATACTAGGCCTAGCTTGGAATGCCTAAGCTGAAAACCATGCTGATATTCTTTCCTGTTCCTGGCAGTGAAGAAGGAAAGGGTAGAACACTGACCAAATGAATCTTGGATGCTATTTTGTCTTCTAACTCAATCTCTCTGGATTTGCTTCAGTGGCCTACATTACCAGGGAAGCTGGCATCAGGTATCAGGGAAGAGATAGCATTCTGATTGGATGGTTGCCTGCATTAGGATTATTAAAGGGGTATTTCCATGACAGTCTGAGTGCACATGGTCCTAACTCTGGATAAATCATTGTCTACATTTATAGTTCATATACATACAATTGATATATATATGTATATATAAATATATATATACATAATGTGTATGTGGAGAGGAAGGGAGCCCTCATGTTATAGAGAGATAACAAAAGGCTTACTTTTCCCTAAGGGTTAAGGAAATATTTCCACTTGGATGCAATGTAAATAGCAAAAGCAGTTGCTGTTAGGCAGGCAAGGGCATAGCTGAAAGCTGTTCTGAATTATTTAGAGGTATTAGAATGTAGATGTTAATGATAAATCCGAAAAAAGGCTGCTGCCAGAAAAAGCTTTAGTAACTGAGAATATACGATTGCTTTCAGTGACACATCTAACGGGCTTAATTCTGCTCTTTAATCTTCCATAGCTTTTTTTTTAACAGATAAGTATCATTATGTTTCAATCATTTAATTTAATTATTCAAAGCAAAAAGACTCCAAATGGTTTCTATGCTCCCCTTATAGCAAAACTGTATTGAAAGAGCGGTAAGATGTCAGCATGATCACTTGGTGGTTCTTATTTTTCTTTTAGTTCCCCCTTGGCTATATTCTGAATTTAACATTGTTTGGGAAACATTTGATAAAATTGTAACAGCAAGAATTTGTGCTCTATCGGTTATTAGTAAGAAGAAGGCAAAGGAAATCATCTAGTCCTATTAGTATCCAGGCAAGGAATTCAAATGTAAAATTGCTAAGTGTTAAAGATATGTGACATAGTACAAGTAGTCCTCAACTTATGACCACAGTTGGGACTAGTATTTTTATTGCTAAGCAAGGTGTGAGTCATGTCTGATTTTACAACTTTTGTTTTTGCCTCAGCTATTAAGCGAATGACGATAGTTGTTAACACAGTTCTTTCAGCAGTTCCAAAAAGGCTCCATACTCACTTACATTACTCAGGTGACCCTGAGGACACAGACAAACCTCCAAGTGGCCCCAACAACTCTCTAAAAGAATGCAAATGACCAGCTATCCGCAAGGAATATAAATTCTTAGGAGTATTGTAGGAAAGAACCCTTCAGGATGGTGTGACACATCCCTTTCCTTCTGGTATCTGAGCACTGTCATTCAATTTTGGGAAAGTGGGAGAGTTGATTTCTAAAATCTGGCTCTCCACTTATACTTGTCAGCTGTTGGAAAACTTGCATCATGCTGAACAGTAGAAGTCCTATGATGGCAATCAGGGTGCTGGTACCATGAAATGGGGGGTGGGGAGCTAACTCCCACTGTTTTTCTGCTGCTTCATGGCACAACTATCCCTATGTCTGTTGTTGGGACTCCCTTTGAGTATACAATGCAAAGAAACATGCAAAACCAAAGTGATTTTTGACAGACAACTAACCTCATCTGTCAACACTTCCAGCTTCCATTTATTAAGGAGAGTAATACATGGTGGGGATTTTTCCTGCTTGCTAGATACGTTGGTGGGAAGAGAAGGCAGCAACCTCAAAGGAGTCCATGGGTTCCTGACCTTGACATGCCCTGTATACAAATGACATGATTTCTTGCCTGAGGAAGAACAAGGATCACCAGTAGGTGCAGTTTTTGACTGGTTCAGAGACCGATGGGTAAAGCCCCAAGGAAGAATCCTGAGAACATCTTTTCAAGCAGAGAAGAAGGGGACAGTGACCTGGATAATATTTTCATTTCATACGGGATGAGATTATTGAGGTTGAAAATTAGATTCATATATCCTCTGATGCTTTTTGTCTAGACTCTTTTAGAGACCGAGTGCCCAAAAACTGGCCCTGCCCCACCCCCGCTCTGCCCCCATCCCCCACCCTGCCTGCCCACAGGATCACTCACCGCCTCCAGGGCCTGCCGCAGATCGCCCAGGAAGCCCAGCAGCACTATGGGGGCTCTGCCCGTGCCCTGCAGCATCAACTGCATGATGGGGTGTGAGGGCAGAGTCTTGTCTACGCTGCCTGGCTGCCATGTCCCTGGCTGTGTTGCTCTGTGTGGGCCACGCTTGAGGGCGACTCTCATTCAGGGGGGCTGCTGGAAAGGAGGAAGTCACGGGGGGAGGCAAGGCTGGGGCAATGGTACATTTACCCACAGAGAAGGCTCCAAGTGCCACCTCGGGCACCCGTGCCATAGGTTCGCCACCATGGGTCTATATGGTACTGTCCTTATATACATTAGGAACTAGCAACAAATAGACTTGTAATTGAATGTTATAAACAGATTAAGGATTTAGATAAAATTAGAAGGGTGAACAGCAGCATTTTTGTTGTTCTTCCACTGTTACCATTTGCATAGTGGATGGAATAGATCCATAGTATATCCTCATCACAGTTGAGTCACTGAGAAGTAGCCTATTTACAGGTTGAGTGAAGCAGAACTGTAAGTAAGTTAAACTTTCTGTAAGTAAGTTAAACTTTCTGATCCTGGGCTATTCTGTACAGAACTGGAGACACCAAAATAGCCCTGAACAGAATCTGAGGACATTTTCCTTCTTTCTTTAATGATTTATGGTTAAGGAACTGAGTAGTGTTTTAAAATCTTGTGGTTGCAGATTTGTATGTGATGGCCTTTCCCAAATGGGAAGTCTTCAAGTCCCAAAGTAGGCAAGCAGTGTGACTGTTGCTGAGAATTCTGGAAGTTAAAAGTCCAGGCATCTGGCGAGTGCAAAGAGAAGAGAACCGTAATTTGAGATGTCCTCATGCTGGATATATCCAGTGGTGGGATTCAGCCAGTTCGCACCACTTCAGCAGAACTCATAGCTAATTTTTTGTTGCCCAGGCCCAGAACGGATTTCGGAAGCAGCATCCACAGAGAACCGGTTGTTCACATATTTGAATCCCACCACTGAATATATCCAGTGCCGAATAAACCATTTATACCATTTCCTGTAGAGTCAAATAAATAACTGTGCTCATCATTTCTGACTTTTTGCAATACCAGTGTGCATTCTGAGTTAAAATTTCTCTTTGGATAGGAAGCTGCAGAGACACCCGCCCAGACTCTTTGTTGCTACTTGCTGGTTGAACTTTACATTGTGATATATTCCATTAGCTCAGCCTCAGACCTTCTGGAAACTATTGAAAATGAAGCTCTTGTGGAAGGCGTCTGAAAAATGATGTTATAGGGTTTTTAGCTTTTTTTTCTACGCTGGGGAATATTTTAATGATTTGTGGACTCCTGTGGGATTACAGAAGAGTATTAAACAAACAAATAAATAATTGTTGCCTCTTCAAGGTTATATTTCAAGGTTTTTACATTTCTGAATGTCCATGAATGATACAAGATGATACTGCATCCTTGAATGAACCATAAGCAAACCATTCCACTGGCACAGGTCAAATTTCGAAGAAGATGAAGAGTTTGGGTTTTAATGATAGATGTGCTTTTAGCTACATTACTAACATGCAGCTAATGCAATATATTTGCTTCAACTATCAGGTAGTTTTTTTAAAATAAATATCTTTAGTTCCGGATTAATCGTTGCAGTAGAACAGTGTTTCCAAAACTTGACAATTTTAAGGCATGAGGACTTCAACTCCCAGAATTCCACAGCCAGCAATGCTGGCTGTGGAATTCTGGGAGTTGAAGTCCACATGCCTTAAAATTGTCAAGTTTGGGAAACACTGCAGTAGAGGGACAAAAATCCTCAGCCCACCATCTCTGAGTCTTTCCATTAGCTCAGCTCCCCTAGTGCTTTCAAATAAGGAATGAAATGTTAATACTGAAACTAAGGAAAGACTGCATGTGTGACCTTGCTGAAATGTAGAAGAAGAGAAGGGTCTCATCCGCTAAATATTCCGGATGAGATTATACCTTTTGTTTTATACCAGAGCTAACAGCATGCTCCATTTCATCATAGGAAAATACCTTCACCTCCTTCGGGAGACAAAAGTGTCTTTTGCTTCCACCTCTCTGGACCAGAAGCAAACTATAACATGTCGTTATCCCAATGATACTTTCTAGTAGTAAATCTGCTATCTGACAATAATTCTCCCAGTGGCAGAAGTGCATTTCACAGAATAACATAGAATGACAGAGTTGGAAAGGAGCTTGGAGGTCATCTAGTCCAACCCTCTGTTCAAGCAGGAGAATCTGCATCATTTCAGACAAATGGCTGTCCAGTCTCGCCTACGTGTCCCATCCAGTAATGGGGCATCCACAACTTCTGAAGGCAAACCATTCCACTGGTGGATTGTTCTCACTGTTAGGAAATTTCTCCTTAGTTCTAAGATGAATTGTTTCCATGATATAGTTTCCATGATAAAGTGATTTCATGATAAAGATTATGCTTTGGGATATTATTACTGCAACCGTGTCCAACTAGACATCCTCCAGACACGGTGAATATGGTTCCCAAGTTTGTAGAATGAAGGGAGTTGCAGTCCTATATAATCTGGAGAACAGCAATGCAGGGAAGATTGTAATTTGTGTATTTTTAATAGCCTTTGATGTTGCTTTGTTTTTGCAAAAATCCTTGTTGTTACTTTCCTTCTTGACGTTGGGATTTCCACACTTCCAGATAGAAGTTTGCCTGAGTTGTAGATAGCCTGCCAACATTTACAATACTGCAGCCTCCCTATGAGTTTAAGACCATACCAATACAATTGTATTGTTGCTCCCTGTCTGCCCTGGAGCATTAGGAAATTTTGCCATCCTAAATCTTTTTTTAAAATACTTTTTATTGAAAAGCCGAAAAATGATATTGAAGAGGAAAAAAAGAAAGAAAAAAAGATTTTTTTTTTTAAAAAAAGAAGTAATTCTGGATTTTCCTTGCAACAAATGCAAGCAAATTTACTATTTCCCCAACCCCTATAAGATTACATACATAATTTGCTTCTGCGCTGGGGAATGTTTTAATGGTTTGTGGGATGGCAGAAGAGTATTAAACAAACAAACAAATAGTTGCTGTCTCTTGTTGCAGATATATTTGCCTTCACTCATAATTTACTTCTTCCCATAACCCTTCCCATTATCCATTTACAAAATTCAAGAATTGTTGTAATTTCTGACCAAGGATCAGGAAAATGTCCATAAATGGTTTGCAGAATTTTATAGAAATATTTCAGTTTTCTTTCTTTTATTCAAATTTTCTTTCTCTCATTTCAGAAATATCTTCAAGGTTTTAGAAACCTTTTTTAAAAAATAAATCTAATGACAAATCATTGCCCAGATCATTTTTCATCTCTTGGTTGATCATTTGTATTTCTAGTTTGTCATCTCTGTTTTATAATCCACAATTTATTTCTCAATATTTGTACATCAGCTAGAACTTGTTTCACCTCTTTATCCTCTGTTGATCTATAATTCTTCCATATTATTTTCTTTCCCTAATCTTTTGTTTCTTCTTCAGAGTCTTCTTCAAAAAATGCATTTGCAGTGCAGAAATTACTGCTGTCAATTTAACTTTATTTCTTTCCCAGTTCTTCAAAATCCATTTGAAATGTCTCAAGTGTCATATCTTTATCTGTCATTTTATATATTTCACTGCACCTCTTTTGGTTCAAGAATAAAAAAACAGTTTTTCTTTCTTTTTTTGTCCCTGCATAGTTTAGTTTAGACACTCCTCTGTAGTGTCTCATTTTTACAGTCACAAACTCTCATTTCATTGTTTTTTTATTTTCAAATTTCCAACCATTCATCTACTTCCTAATAGACCAAACAATTTAAATTCTATGAAAATATTGTTTTATTTGTTTAGTTATTTCAAAAGTATTATCAACAGTCCTAATATTCCAAATTCATCTGGTTCCTTAAATTCATTTAAAATGTTCTTGAATTAAATTCTTATTTAATTTTTAGCCATTTATTTTACATTCTTTAACTCCTTTAAGCTGTTTGTTAGTTATTTGGGGATGAAGTTTTAATTACAAGATAATTTTTCAAACTTGTTGTTGGAGAGAACTCTTTTAACTTTAAAATAATTATAAATCCAAAAGTTGTTAGAAAGTGAGGTTAATGAACCCAGTGTCCTTAAAAGCTACATAATAGTTGAAAGCTTGATGGCTTCCCTCATCTTCTTACACTCAAACTCATAGGTCAATTTTCGTGAGGAGCAACTGTCCAGAGCATAAGTGGGCAATCTCCTGTCCTCTCCTTGTTAGAAGAGCTTCTATTGAACCAGATACATTGCCAGTCTGTCAGTCTTAGTGCATGGTTGTCACTGCTCCTCTGAAGATGTCTTTCCCTCACCTGGAAGTCCCAAAATGTTGTCATCATCTTTAATATTGCTGCCATCACAACATGACTTTACTGAGCCCCTGAAACAGGTCTGCGCTGTCCAGATAGCTACCTCAGCTGAAATTCCAGTTCTGCTCAACATTATCTGCTGTGTGAAAAGCTTCCTCCAAAAGGCATGGACAATCCCGTGGTTACTCCATGCCCTGCCATAGCTGTAAGTGGATGATAAGATACAGGCAGTGGCATGCAAATACATGCTTTGGAAATGATTAAAAGGCTGTTGTCACATCGGGGCAAGAACACTGTGTGGACTTGCTCTAAGTGCCAGATAGCATTTGAGTTTGAATAAATGCCTTCTTTCAGATACGAAGTTCAGGCATATGCTCACATATTCCCACAATCCTTTTCTTCCTAAAGTTTTGGTTTTTTTTACAAAACAAAGGCAAAAAATTCAGGATACAAAATGAACAGTTTTCATACCTGTGCTGGGAAAACAAGTTGAGTGTACAATCTCCTCAACAGCTGTGATAAACAGCTGAAATATACCTAAGAAGCTAGGACAAAATAATGGAGAAAGTTATCTCTAAGGATTTGATAGCTGCTGTAGTTAGACTTGATGCTAATTTATTTTGTCTTGGCATGTTAAAAACTTTATTATCTCATTCTTATAACTTTGTATAAGTAGTATATTCCATGTAATTTTGTACCGAATTTAGGATTTCCTTTTCTGTTACTTAATTTCTTGGAAGAAAGTCATCATTAATTATGGTCTACTAAAGATGATGTATGCATTTTTTATAAATTAGACTTCATACTTTTTTTCTTTTGATTTTATTTTTTAATAATAAAATCCAAAGTGGATTTTTCTTTTATGAGATTGATTTATTTCCCGGGGGGTGGGTGGGGGAAAGGGAAAGCTGAAATCGCTGATTATAAACCTACATCCAACAAAGCCAGGGGGTTGTATCGTAGACATTATTTTTATTTCTGTTTGCCAAAAAGACAGTGCAGATTGTGGTAATTTAATCTCTTTTACAAAGCAGGGTTAGAGAAAGGATGCCTAGTGAGATGCTCCCTGGAAGATAAGTAGTGGGAGCAATACAGACCACAATTGACCCCAAAATTTCTGTTGTTAAGCAAGACAATTGTTAAATGAGATTTGCTCCATTTTATGACTTTTCTTGCCACCATTGTTAAGTGAATCACTACAGTTGTTAAGTTAGTAACACAGTTGTTAAATGATTTGGCTTCCCCATTGACTTTACTTGTTTTTGTTGTTGTTAGTTGCGAAGTCATGCCCGACCCATCACGACCCCATGGACAATGTTCTTCCAGGCCTTCCTGTCCTCTACCATCTTCTGGAGTCCATTTAAGCTCACGCCTACTGCTTCAGTGACTCCATCCAGCCATCTCATTCTCTGTCGTCCCCTTTTTCTATTGCCCTCAATCTTTCCCAGCATTAGGCTCTTCTCCAGTGAGTCCTTCCTTCTCATTAGGTGGCCAAAGTACTTGAGTTTCAACTTCAGGATTTGGCCTTTTAAAGAGCTGTTGGGGTTGATTTCTTCTGAGATCACAAAAGCTGATCACTGCAACTATAATAAGTACGAGCCAGTTGTCAACGGTCCATGGGAATGCTGCAACGGTTGTAAGTGTGAAAAACAGTCATAAATCACTTTTTAGTGCCATTGTAACTTTGAATAGTCACTAAATGAATGGTTGTAAGTCGAGGTTTACCTGCAACTACGAAGTAGCATACCAGGGCATAAGACAGGTCTAGGGTATGTTAACCCAGTGGGCCTCTGGAAGATGCCCCAAGCAGGTTGATCTGGGGAAAAAACATGCCTGTGTTACCCAATGTAGATGAAGAGTATTCATGGGATATGAATGTATTTAACACACATCCAATAATTCTTACTGATAAACTTTATACCTGGTTGATGATGACAAGTACTTCAGAAATTATCAATAGTCACAAGCTGCTAACATCACAGGATCCTTTTGTCAGCATAAATAAGTTCTGGCTTCCAAGCACTTTATCCAATTGCATAGATGCTTCCTGTATTTTATCCTGAATGCACTAGTTTGCTTCTCTCCCCCCCCCCCAGGTTGAATACATTTTGTTAATTCCTGCCATTGGTCCAATCTCTTTGGGTCTGTTTCTAACTATTTTACTATGTTTCACTATGTGTACAAGTCTCCCTCTGGTCCTTTATTATACATGAATTATGTTAGTATGCTTTTGGGTGTTTTTAATGACAATAGTTCACAAAACAGGATGCAACCTTATCCTTATATGACCTCAATATGAACCCTGTTTTACAAAGCTATGATTTCTGCTTTATACAGACGTGCTATCCTTTCTATTGTGAAATAAAATAATAAAGGCTATTCAGATTCACCTGAATTTTCCTCAAAACAGAATTTCCTGTTTGATTTATCAAATACTTCAATCGTGTCCAACTATAATTATCATTTTTTTAAAAAACAACAACCAACCATTTCTTTTATATAGACATTTTGGAATCCATATCTCTAGAATGATCAGTAGCCAAGTTGGCTCTTGTCTATCATTAAAAAGACCAACAAAAAAAAAAAAAAATGGAACTAGCAGAGATGACTAAATTGATTAAAGACATAATAATATCTGGTCTGGAAACCCCTTATCAAATTTTTGCATGAAACAGAAAAAAAAATGCAATTATGATTTGGGGCTTTGATGATTTGATAAAAATTGCATATTAGAAAAACAGTGAGGATTTTTGTAACCATAAAGGAATTCTGCAATTGTACTTATATTTGCTGCAAAGAAAACTGGAAGTTTCTTTCTATTTTTACTTTTTAATTCTTCCTACACTTTTGCCTTTTTTTTCTTTCTTTATTGCTTCTGCTCTACTAGTTTGTGTTAGGATTTATGTATTTTGTAAAACTTTAATTAAAAAAGAGCAACTAAAACAGGAATAAAATCAATTAACAAGAAAGTGCAAGGGGAAAATACTCTGCAATAATAACTGAAAGAGTCAATTAATTCACATATTTCCCATCTCAACATTCATTCAGATATAAACGTTTCCCCTCCTTTTCTATTTTTAAAGGATTATAAGTAAAAAGAAGTTGCCCTATCTTGCTTCTAATGAAGAAAATTTCTTAACCACTATACCTGCTAAAATATACTGAATTATGGTGTAACTGTGCCATTACGAGAGTCTTGAGGCTCAGCGCTCTTAACTGCCTTCTTATAGGTAATAAAAAAAGCTAAAGTTTCTTTAGTTACCTTGACAGGTGCAAAACATGCTGAAGGCAGCTGCTAGACTTAGTTTGGTAGAGAATATTGCTTTTGACAAGCTTTGTTGTTTCTATTGCACAAGCAGGACATGTTGGTTAATCAGTTAAATTATTTGTCAGGTTCACACAACTTTTCCAGCCATAAATCAACCAGACCAGCTGGGGTTCCGTAACACAATAAAAGAAAAGAGAAAGAGAAAATTATCCAGGCTTTGACAGTTGTCAAAGTTGTCCAAGCCAGAAAGGAAGCATACCATACAATTAGTGGAGAGTCAGAAATCCATTTATTCACTCAAAGTTGTTCAACTGTTTTGGGTGGGTGGCCACTTGCACTTCACTTTGATTCTCCTTTTCATAGGGTTCTGAAATTTAGCCAATCGTTATCAATGGAATGGAATCTCCTAACTTATTACAAACAAAGTTTTCCTTATCTTAGAGTGAAAGCAAATATCTCATTTATGGTTAAACATTTATGAAGAACTAAAGCAGGAATGTGGGCATTTCATCTAGATATGTGTTTTTCTATGCAGAAGATATAGGTCTTCCTTTACATACGTATTCATGGATTTTGCTATGTGATACTATAATCTGTAAGTTCTGCCATCTGCGGTTTGGTGCCTTGCCGGCATCCTGCCATCAAAAGTTAGGGGAGATAGGGCAAGGGGAACAAATGGGCAATAAATATGTATGGGGATGTGATGGGAAATAGGGAAGGGGAATGACAGTTTGATGAAGACCAGAGAAGTGCGAAATAATTTGTGCCAGTCTTCAAAGACACGCATTCTGAGAGTGGAATGTGGATTGCCCCAAACATCTCAGAGGTTCTCAAAACACCTATGCAGTTCTTCATTGACTGAAGATGAACTGATCAAGGGGGAGAGCTGGGATGAGGGGAAAAATTTCATGCAAGAATCCTAGTTCTAGCCTGACTATACTGCACAGCCAGCAATCTTTAAAAACCTATCTTTTTACCCAGGGTCTTGAGGATATTTCTTTCCTAAGGGATCTGACCGGGGCAGATCTGACAATATCTCTGTTTTTATTGGAAAAGCCAGCTTTTAAACAATGACATTACTACTGTCTATTCACAACTGCTTAATCAATCTTTAAATATATAGGGAAAAAAATATTCCAACACTGTGAATATGTTTTTCATGTTTTCCTTATGTAAATATGCAGTCCAGTTACAATCCTGTCAAGAATCTTTACAACTAACTTGGAACAACTATGGGGTGGCAAGAAGATCTTTGGATGTTGTTTCAAAACTATAGAACTTTTTTTTTTTACAACAATTTCCTTTTACCTCTTAAAGACATTATCTGAGTTATTCACAACTGCCAGCAATTGTGGCATAACAAAATAATTTGTATATTTAAAAAACAGGATTAGATAGGCTTTTGAGGGAGTAGGCTTAAGGCTTTCAAAACTGGTCTGCAAAGGTTTGGACAGTCTTTTTTTGCCATCTCTTTTTTTTATATAAGTATTTTATTAAGTTTTATAAAGGTACTGTACAGGGGGAAAAGGATCAGTATAGGTAATGGGATTCAGGGTAGTGTTCAGGGAAGGGATTGGAATGGGGGTAGGTACAACAATGGGGTTGCCCCCGATGACATTCCAAGCTTTAGCAAACAAACTATCATCCGGGTAAAAGTATTCAGTGGGAATAGTTAACATAATAATAAGTAGCTGTAGTCAACAAAAATAGCAATAATTATAAAGCATATCAATTAATCAATAAGCATCAATCATCTTAATAAATTTCAGAATCAATTTTCATTAACTCATTTTGCTAACCATTGATAAAAATTTTCCCATGTTTTAAAATAAACTGAGTCTTCTTTCTCTTTAAAATCTAAGGTTAGTCTATCCATTTCTGTACATTCTAGAATTTTCCTAATTATGATCTCATCCGATGGTACATTTTCATTTTTCCAATATTGGGCAAATGCTATTCTCGCAGCTGTCAAGTTTTTATTTTGCCATCTCGAGGTTGTCTGGATTTTTGAAGCTCAACACTGGTAGATCTAATTAGGCTATCAATGGATATTAACTTCCTGAAGAGCTTAACTATCAATTGCTCCACAGAAGGAGGCCATTATTCTCCCTTCTAGGCCACTAAGCTTCCCATATTGCTTCCAGCCAGCCATTAGCACTAAGTAGGCTTAGCCCTACTCAGCTTCTAAATGTAAATAGATGGGCCTAGTCCTGCTGCTTCTGGAGCATTTTGTGATAATAAGGCCATTCTTGGCATGTCTTTCTCTTTCATGTTACTGTTTACCATTCCTTTGCTCACCCCACAGAGGAGGCTTCCACACAGTTACTTGCCCTCCCTGTGGCAATAAATTATAACAGCAGATAAGTTTTCTGTTGCCACTAGACAACCCATGACTCTGAATTCAGAGATATTTCCTTACTTAAACAGAGAACAGAATTACCGAGGACAATTGTCTAGTATAATGAAGAAAAGGACGAGGGGTGACATGATAGCAGTGTTCCAATATCTCAGGGGCTGCCACAAAGAAGAGGGAGTTAAGCTATTCTCCAAAGCGCCTGAAGGCAGGACAAGAAGCAACGGATGGAAACTAACCAAGGAGAGAAGCAACTGAGAACTAAGGAGAAATTTCCTCACAGTTAGAACAATTAATCAGTTGAACAAATTGCCTCCAGAAGCTGTGAATGCTCCAACACTGAAAGTTTTTAAGAAGAGACTGGACAGCCATTTGTCTGAAATAGTATAGGGTTTCCTGCCTGAGCAGGGGGTTGGACTAGATCAGTGGTTCTCAACCTTTTTTATGCCGCGACTCCCAACCGGTCGTAAGTCGAGGACTAAACTGGTCGTAAGTCGAGGACTATCCAACCGGTCATAAGTCAAGGACTTTCCCTGCCCAGGAGCACCGCGCATGCGTGGTGCCGCCCCCTGCGCCAGCCAAGGCGTAGCTGGCAAGCGGCAGAGACGGAGCAGGCTGACCACCGGCTGGGCCACCAGCTGGCCCAGCCCAAGGGGGGTAAGGCACCCGCCAGGCCCCACGTGTGCCAGCAACCCTCCCTGCGCCTGCCGGCCTCCCACCTCCCACCCCTGGCCCTCTTTTACTTACATTTTTAGTAGTTGCTCAGCAGGGAGGGGTGGAAACTTCCAGACAGCTCACCTTCGCTGCAGACAACTTGCAGTACCATTTGCAGAATGGGACTTTTGGCGGGCTCAGCAGGGCAGAGACAGCCTGGACAATTCCTATTGGCTTTTGAAAGCCAATAGAATTAGACTCTATTCAAGAGAGTCTATTCTATTGGCTTTCAAAAGCCAATAGAATAAAAGGGAGTAGCAGAGCTCAGGAAAAGGGGGAAAAAATGGCGGACTGCGTTATTTGGTGACCCCCGTGAAATGGTCATTCGACCCCAAATGGGGTCCCGACCCACAGGTTGAGAACCGTTGGACTAGATGATCTCCAAGGTCCCTTCCAAACTTATTATTATTGTTATTGTTAATAATAATAATAATAATAACAACAACAATAATAATAATAAAGTACTGGGAGCAGGAGCAACATCTTACCAGCTTGACCACAGCTGACTGCGCTCCAAAGGGCAGCCAGTGAGTGGAACCAATCTACTCAATTTTCAGAGGGCAAGAGCGGGACAAGCCAGTGATGATATTGTAGCAACCACAAATTTGCCAAATTTCAATTCAATGGGAATCATGGGTCCTGGATTTTGGACACATTCTGTAAGTTAGTCCATTTGCGATACCTTGTTTCAAAAATTGTTGCCCTATAATACATTATTTTTCCCAGTTAAAGATTACAGACCCGAGAGTTTTAGTAGCACATGAATAGAGCCAGATGACTGATAACTGGTGTGGAGCTGCTTCATGAGCTGATTTATGTATTCCTATCCCAGAATAATATTCTATGATTCTGAACTTGATTGCATTTTGCAAGCACTCTCAAACTTTTAAAGGCTTCTTAATAATATATCTGGCAGGCTATATGATGGCTAAATCGATTTGGAGAGAACCCTGTGCTTTTGCTAATTTATGCAACAACTTTTTAAAGCCACTAAACTGAAGCTTGGCCCTTTCAACTGCTTTGATTTAAAAAAAAACAAAAAACATTGCTGATGAAAGGGAAATGGAAGAAAGAAACAAGTATACTTTCTGACAGATGTCTCCTGCCAGCTAAAAGACATTGCCTAACAATGCTTGCATTACATCCTAGCTATTTATTAACTGAACCAAGCTTACAACACACTGAATAAAGTAATCATTTTTGCTAGGTTTGCAGAATAGGAAACCATAAGAAATAAATTATGTTTTAAGCTATTGTGTTGTGCAAAGCTAGCTATATCCAGCTACTTTATTATTTTCTCCTTAATGAGATTATTAGGCATAGCATACCCATTCTGCAAAAACCCAGATGACTGCTAGATGGCAGGAAAAAGATGGTTTTTCAGGGTCTCACTGTTTCTATCTCTTGTCTATCCAGATTTCTCCAACTGAGACACAGTAGGATGATTTTTGGGTAGAAGGAAAATAGGTAGAAGAGGCGGGAAAACAAATGAAAGCTACAAGTGGAACACAATGCCTGAAACCCCTGGTGCAAATTTGTGATCAAAGCAAAGGGATTGTAGAATAACCTTGCAAATGATTTTGTGACAAATCTGACAAAGGACAAAGATGGGATGAGTATAATATGATGCCCACTGGCTTGAGACTCGACGCCTTGTGGCTGCTGGCCCTTTGCTCAAACTACTGGAACATCATTTTCTTTCTAAGATCAACGAGGGACAGCAAGCATGCAGTTTCTACATCCAAGGGAAAGTTTTTTGAATTGAGATATGCATTATTGAAGAGGGCATTTGTTGTCAGGCTCCTAGAAATTGTAGCTGCTGATTTAATTTACCAAAACCAAAGGTGGAAAAAATTGGCACGATGCAGAAAACAAAGGAATGGAATATTAGCATTTTAGGGGACCGTTCACAACAGCTCCCTTTGTCAAGAAAGGTGTCGGGGCACTTTCTTTTGTATAACTTTTTTTAACCGCACTCATGAGAATCTCACGGTTAGGTAACACAAATGCTTATCATTCAATTATGATGGACATATGCAGAGTATTTAGACTAAATAGTTCTGGATTCAAATGGGGCTAATTCCCAACTAGGATTGCAATTAAGCCTGTCCTGGGGCTTGATCTGCCTAACTACGACAGCCTGGTGTGAAGATGTGACCTGTTTTTATAAAGTCCATAATATTTTAG